AACTTTCAGTGGGTATGAGTGTCTGTCCACCGGTCTGAGTATGAGAGCAGTTCATACTGCACTACTTAACACTTTATCTGATGATGCCCTTATACTAACTTGGTTTAGGCCTACAAAGAGGATACGCACTTCAAAGACGATGTTCAATAATTGGGCGACAAATCTGGTGCGGTGCCAGTCAGAGATGCAAACGTTGTGTACGAGCTAAAGAATGAATTTATGAGGACTTGTTACGTCGAGACATCGACTAAGAGTTTATTCTTACCAAGCTGGTCATCATGAAAGTCTGTGGAAAACACTAATAATAATTACAGAACGATAATTAGGGTAAAATGATCAACGTGCAAATCATTAAGAACTTTCTCAAGAGAAGCTTGGAGGACTCCAAATGCCTAATCACTACAGCTATTAACGAATGCTCTTTGTTACCCAGAACTAATAAATTAAATTACCTTCTGAATGACGAACGATTTCATATAGATAGATATAAATATGGCTATATCCATAAAACATAGAAACCTGTGAGATACTTTCTAGAGGTGTTTGAAAAGATGGCCGAAGTAGTACGTAAGCACTCTCTGAATGCTTAGTAAATGGATGGGACGGTGTAAAATTCTACTTGGTGGAGATATGGTACTCGTTACTAGAATGTCGTCATCCAAAGAGGCTATTTGATACGATCCATAATGTTCACATTGGCGAAGATGAACTTATAAGAACAGTAAGTTTCCGTATCAAAAGTGCTTTGCTTGCTACAGATATCAGAAGGCTATGTTTATTAGATAGGATCAACGAACAAAAAAGATAGAGTTCATATCGAGAGACTTTCCTACTGAACAACAGTTCTCGAGTGTGAGTACAACGTGGTTCAAATGATTAGGTACTTCATCGACGCATACTCGATTTAGCCAGTCAACTTGTCATCCGTATTACATAGTTGTGTTATAATTCCATGTATTTACATCCTGCTTACCTGAGTTTAGAGTTTTGTGCTTACTGTTGATCCTCGGTTATGTCCAATTTTATATTGATCTCAATGGATTCAGTAGCAAAACAAGACAATCGAGATCCTGAGTTCACTTCTGGTTTACTAACTATTGTTATCTAGTCATCCGTTTATCATTTCTACCCAGTATTTCTTCATTTAACCCTCGCTCTTAGCTGTCATTATAACTGGCTTGCGTAAGATCACCTCCATATTAGTAAAAATCATAGACTACCCGTGAGAAATTGGATTTGTAGTACCATTGCGATAAAATTCATGTTAACGGTAGAGTGTCGGAAATAGGAAAAGACAGTTTGGTGGCATAGATGATGGAGCTCGGCTGAAACGAAGCTATATCCTACCAGTGTTTTCCGCTTGAGGACTGGTAGGAGATGTGTCGTACTAGTGTTCCCGCGATGTATGGTGATAGCTAAGTTATGAGGGTCGAATAGTGGATTTTTAGCTTAACTCGGTGTAGCTTATGCGTGTTTGTGAAAGGGGATATGAAATTGCAACAGCAAGAAAAACAAATGCGAGCCATCCACACATGAGCTCGAGGAAAATAAACGGAGTTGGATCCACAGACTAAGATAGTCAGTCTTCGTAATGTGGATACGTCAGAGATTACTGAATCTGGTTACGTCAGAGGCAACCCTCATTTAATTGGACAGTATCCAGCGTCAGACAGCCGTGGTACGGAGGGAAAACTGCACCGAAACGTTGTGCTACAGAGGTAGATTGTAAAGACATATTGACAGCGGCAGTGACAAGTGAACGAGCAAGCGTCCTACTTGTCCCGTAGATGTGTGTATTGAAAGTTGTGTCTGTGTTCGTGTTATTTCGTGTTCTCTGTGTCTAACGTCCAGTCCTTGTGATCCACGACATAACGTTCAGTTGATTAGTACGTGCTGATGAAGAAACGTTTACCTCTTGGAAACTTTGGGGAGAAATAACGTAGTTCATTCATCAGTGACGTCTCTAATGACCCGAAAGCCTAAATATTATTGTATCTGTTTGCCTCTTAGTCGTTACCCTTTTTCGAAAGTTGTCTTATTTTTCAAGGATTAGTGAAGATACTCTTGCTGTGTAGAATGAAAGCTATTTTAGGATGTAGTTTAAACGATTAAATGGTGCACTTTCAGACTTTTTTCGTCTAACTCTATATTTGACTCACTTTTTGATATCCATTCAGCATGGTTTTATTGTTGGGAAAATACATTTGGTTCTTGCTATAATTAGTTTTGGCTTAGGCCCCTTGTGTTAAGGTTGGGCGAACCTTTTTTCCAATTCTACTATCCATCATCGTTCACACCAACAACTTCAAGTCCGAAGTCGACACCAACCTTCTGCATAGTTTTGAGACCTCTTCTGCGATATTCCCACAGTCCTCACTACGGTCCAAATAACCGAAATCTGACAAATATCAACCCAATTTTAAAATGCCTCAGGCAGTAAATTCTGAAGACAATGACCAGTAGCACGTTTGTCAGGACGGTCAAACCTTATGGAAAACCAGGTATATGATCATCTAAGCAACTAAATTCTTTATCCCAAGCAACCCAAAATGGGAAAATAAAGGCGAACAAAGGGGAAATAAAGGAGAAAACGCATCAGAATGTCGCCTTTTTCGCCTGTCCGGGGGAAATAATGAGGATTTTCCCCCTTTTTCGCCGTTTTGTCGACAAATTACCGACTTATCGCCTAAATATCCGCCGAATTGTCGAATTCTCGCCTAAATTTTCGCGGAATTGCCTATTTATACGCTTAATTGTCTACGTTCCGCCTAAATACTCACATAACCCTCTATTTTCCATCCATTGACAGAACCCCAAAGGTCTCCTATGTTCGCCTTTATTTTCAACAACAGACCAAAATATATCTGCCATGCAGTGGAAAAGCGGTACATTTTTTAAATTTTATTTAAAAGGAAAAGCGTATTATTGCACAACACTAGAGCAGCAGCTTAAGCATCGATTGTTTTGCATATCCAATGCAATTGCTAATTCATTGTTATTTGAAATTACCTGAAAAAGAAGGATCAGGTTATGTTTTATTTATAAGGAATGTGCATTTAAGCAAAAGTTAACTAACACTCAAACACACATTCTCAACACTTCAACAGTTTCCCATGTAAGTAAAAGAGTAAGCTGTTTGAAAAAATAATGTTTATTGAAGTCTAGGTAGAACATCAAAACAATTGCACGGACTATTCCCTCAAGCCACGTTCGTTCGGCTATTGAGAATTGAGGTAGTCGTCCTGTGAATTCTGAATTTAAAAAAAGAAATAAAGTCACAACCATATCTCAATGACATGCTTTGGCACAGCCAAATACTTGAAGCTGAATTTACGGTTATGTCCGTTAATATTGTTGACTGTAACTATAGAGCCGTAGGGAGGTTATCACCTTAAATTAGTACATACCTGGTTTTCTTTTCTTCTATTACGCTTTATCATCTTGTCTCGGATATCGTGAAAGTAACCTCGTGTCTCGATGTCATAGAGCTTACCAAGGTCTTTTTCGTTGACAGAGGATGACAGAAAGCGATTAGTTAAGGCACCTGAAGTTAAAGCAATAGATATAGGTTACTTCGTATGCAGCCGTAAAACGTGCATTTCTGAAGTGCTCGTTTTGAAGGGGTGCCAAGTAACGTGAGTTTACTGGCAACCTCAGGTGTCAACAGATGCGACAGAACAAACCGCATCGACGTTTTTGGATCGTCACTTGATAACCTAGTGACCATCGCCATCTGTAATCGTAACAAACTATTTAATTCATGTTAATGACTTACAAATCTGTCCCTGGTTTCTTTCTGCTGCAAACCAGTATCCAGCATCTGTAGTTCCTCTTCAGATGACAAAGGGGACTGCTGACTCGACAGCACGCAATCGAATTTATGCGGTTTTTCGCGTTCATTACACTTAAATAGCGATTGGTTTACATTAACATTCAAGTCAGTAATGGCGGACGATATGTTGTTCATCGTTTTAGTCAAGTCAGTGATAGCTGACGACATGTTCAGCACCAGTGTATACAACCTATCACAGCTGAAAAAGGTCACTAGATGATGCAGGTTACTTACTGGTCCACTATAGCGCCACCAACATGATTGGATGCCGAATGTGTCAACTTTTCGAAAATTTAGTTGTGGTAAGGCATACTGGTTCTATCAGTTGGCCGAACCATTAGGCATCATGTCATCATTGGCTGGTGACTTCAGGACTTGGATAAATGATTAACGTTTTAAAGTAAGAAATAACTTTACGTTCACTCAGGTAACATAATGTGAAGCGTGGTGTCGAGTCGAGATTGACTATAAACACCACTACAAAGGAACGCGTGACAGAATACCCATAAAATCCCCCGGAAGCCAAATATCAGAAGGCACTTAGTGGACCAAGTCAAGATACATTTGCTGGCGATCTCGTGGTATCGAAAGGATACCGAGATCGTGCCAGGATACAAGCTTAATTACAGAGCGTAACCGAATTCTCGCGAAGTCACAATCAAAGTGTAAAAATAATGGATGCTTTCTAGCACAGTTAAACAAAGAGCACACTAACGTCACCGGTACAATTGGTTATAATAATAGTTGTTTTCAATAAACCAATCGCGTTCTCGTGATAACGGTGAGTCAATACAAATTCTCTAGAGGGTTCCCCTTTAGCACCCCTCATACACTTAATTTTGTTTACGTTTGATTTTATCAATACATTCAACTAACTTAGGCAAGAGACAGCGTTATTCATCTTCAACCATTTGAATCCCATAAACTTCGGTATTTCACTCATAAAACATAAGTTCACTTAGGAATCGATCCCTTGAGAGCACATACCTTCAGAGATTCTAGTTAAAACAAAATGATTTTCACTCAAAAGTGAAATTCTACTACATGGAATTCTTTTGTCTTACTTTATTCCATTGAAAAAGTTTGAATCTACACATTGGACAATGTACTTTTTTGTGTTTGTATTTACTACATTGATTTATATCCCTAGGCTACTGAATGAACAGAAATGATTACAGACAATGATGAGGATTTATATGAGGGTTTTGATAAACTCAACAGCAAGTTGGAAGTTGAAGAATTCGTGAATGACACTGGATTTCAGAATGTCATTAGAAATACCAGTTATGGTAGAAAACCAACGGTACATTTCTTTTTTTCATGATCATCAATGTTATAAACTCGTAGCAACTGAAGGTTGTGATCCATAAATATCAGAAGATTGTTTACTCAGCTATCACCCTGCAACAGAATAGCACCTTAGTTTCGAATCTTTAAGTGTAGATTCATACTTCACTTCGGGAATTGTAGCTCAAAAATGTTCGGATATCATTCAGTCAAATAAATTTCTAAGGGTTTAAACATGTAAACCAATTTAAAAATCGTACAAGACAGTGCTATTACTGTAAAATGTGGCCATGCGGCACATAGTTTTGCTGTATCCAAGTGAGAAATTGGAAAAAGTTTCACCAGAATCATAATTTCAAATGCATTTCCAAAACCCATCTAGAATTGGATTGAACCCTTTCGATACATGTTATAAATCAATCGTTTTCTAAGGACAACCGTTACGCGTGTTTCTAATGTAAATTTCGTCGGATACAGCTGTGAGAAATTTTTAACTAACATGGTAATCTGTCAACAATTTGTTTATTCTAATAACCTACTGACTTTTTGGTACTTAATGGGAATGTATTGTATGTTTGTATTATTCTTTGTGATTTACTTCAATAATCATATGAGTATTTACCAGACTTGTTTGTTTTATGCTAGGTGCTTGATCGAGGCTTAAATACATCAATCATTCGTGGATCGATAGGAAGAGCACCAACATCAGGCAACTTCAGATTGGTCACTGCTTCAGGACTTGCAGGTGGGGATTTCGGAAGACCAATGACATCTGTCAGAGCTGCTGGGTATTCATCTATGGGTCGGAGACTGAGTACAGGAAACCAAGGTTGGTTAGGTGGTCAAACTGTCCAGCAACGGTTGATGTCACTGCTGTTCCCCCACTCGAAAGTAAACCAGAAGACAGTTCTGAAGAACGTATCAAAAATATGGAAAAAAAAGTAGGTATATTGTTGATTGTATGTGAATGTTTCAGGCAGATACTGTAAACACTGAAACTTTTCCTAGTCATTTCCACACTTCAAACTGACAATTTACAAATCGGAAACCTATTCAAAAAAATAAAATATTATTCGAATTGTTTGTTTACAAATCACTTTGAGTGGTAAATATAACTTTTGAAATAAATCAAAAGTAATATCTATGGGTTTTGAAGATGAGCCATGTTCGTTGTTTTGAACTCTACAGAAAATGTATAGGCTAAATGCAACGGGAGTAACTTTATCAAAATTTAAAACCCATTGTCAGGTACAACATGATGTCAGATGCAGACACCCTCTCAAGATTTTTCACAATCAATGGTATCAGTGACTGTGGGCGTTGAGTGATGTGACTTAGGATCGGTCTTAATGGGCTTTGTGTATTAGCTCGTTTTTATTATTTCGGTCTAGAGTTCCAGCATTATTTCATGCTTGTCTTTCTTACTGTCCTTTTAAGTCTAATCTCTTTCATTACCATTAGCGCTATATTTTTAAGATCTCTTTCTTCATATGACTTGTTAGTTTTGTCACGTTTACCCGATATGATGTGGCAACATGGACAATCGCACATCTTTACGGGGCCCTACCTTCATTATAACCTGCTAACTGACTGAAATTATGTTTACTTACAGATGCAAGCCATTTTAAAATATAATTCAGTCGTAAAATATCTAATTGAAGACCTTTTATCCGCCTTGTAAGAAATAAGGATCAAGATTTTGTGTAACAATGAATGTTTTTAGAGACCTAAAGCTGCCATCGTTTTGTCTGCTACCATTTCAAGGTCCTTCACCTTGCCTGTGGGTGAGATGCCAGAAGTATTTGAGGGTGAGTAAAACTCGTTGAGAGTATTTGAGCAAAGTTTAGACAGTGACTAGCACTATAGTCTAGTACGCACATTTTGTATTATTAGGAACCCTTCAGCTGCATACATCTACACCCTAGTATTTGATTTCTATACGAACAGAGGGTCTAGCCAATTCTAATATTTATAGGAAAACAAGTTATTCATAGGCCACGGTAAGCTAACTTAAACAGAAGAGACCTATGTTGGCAAAACATTACATATTTACCTACTAACTTTGTACAAATAATAGCTATATTCTTAGGACATTCTTTGCTGTCGCACACGAGGATAAAATTGCGCGTTGTAATTCAGTCACTTACCATATGTATTTCGTCTTTACGTAAAGTCGTCTATTCAGCATGACAGTTGACAAGTTTTTGCCTATATCAGTGAAATGCTTCAACAGTATATTGTTCACATGGTATTACACTTATGCTGAAGTATTCTATATATCCTATAATACAGTTGAAACTTCCTAATAAGTAATGTATCCGCCGTAGTAAATACAGTAGTTACAAAGCAAAATATGAATTGAAGCCATTTTTGACTAAAAATATTCAAACAAGTCTGAAAATTCATTTCAAAAGTGTCTTAGAGTTAGATGGGTCGTGACAGTCCGTTATGAGGAGCAAAAGCTCTCTGCTTTGACCTTTTATTTCCCGATGGTTTGTAGAAGTATGACTTTGGCCTTTTTTCCTTTTGCCAGGTTAATCACTTAATTGAAGAAAGTTGTGTTGCTGCATGTCAAGCAGAAATCACTTTGGCATTAGAAAAAGCTAAGGAAGCCAGTCGCAAAGAACGTGTACTTGCTAGACAACGAGAGCAACTTGGTGTTGCAGATCAAATCAACTTAGACTTAACGTATTCAGTACTATTCAATTTAGCTAATCGTTATACAGCAAATGGAATGTATCAAGAAGCACTGAATACTTATCAAGCTATTGTTCGAAATAAAATGTTTGCCCATGCAGGTTTGAATTCTTTTGATCATTGCACTTTAAAGCCTACATATGCCATTAGCAAATTACCATCTCAAATTTTGACTCACCATTAGATTTTTATGCATCATAACAAAAACCTGTATTTAAGAGTGACTCAATACTCTAATCAAAAGTCAATATTACTGTAAATTACCTTCACTGACAGCTATAATTTGTCATTGATGTTTCCTTGACATAACGGAACTCTTGTTTCGTGATATTTGAAAGCAAGGAACGTCTACCATTTTAAAATAAATTACTCATCTAATAAACTTCAAACTGTGACATGCTGTTTCATTTCCAGCAGTAGATTAATATCGATTCATGATAGTTTTATGACAACAACTTCCTGTGTCAAAACAAATTATAAAATATATGACATATTTATTTAGCAGTTCAACAATGTGAACTAACAAGTTAGGCAAAACTCACTTATTCAGCATCAGCTTATGATGGCTTAAGATTTTATATCACACTTATTCTGTATTTAGGTAAGTAAACTGAACAGGATCAGCTACTTTGAGTCTAAACAAAACATCTTGCTATCTTGAAATTACCAGATATTCTGTAATGACTATAAATTAGTTAACATCAGAGAACAAAGTCATTTTGTATTACACCAAGATTTTTCACTAAACTAACGCTAAATATCGTAAAATAGGAAAAAATGTTTTTCTAGTACTTGATAGTACTAGTTTGGTCGTTTGATATGAATTCAAGATTAAAGTTGTTTCAATCATCGCCCAATAATCAACTTAATTTGTCTATTTTTTAGGTCGACTCAAAGTAAATATGGGAAATATTTATTATGTTCAGAAGAATTACTCGAAAGCTATTAAATTCTTTCGTATGGGTCTAGATCAGGTGCCTAATACACATAAATTAATGAGGTAGTTTCCACTTATTATTCAGATAACTGTTTACTTCAGAATAAAAATTATGCAGAATATTGGTATAAGCTTTGTTAAACTTGGCCAATTCAGTGAAGCCATCACAGCATTCGAGCATATTATGCAAGAGGAACCGGATACAAAAACTGGTTTCAATTTAATTGTTTGTTATTTTATCAAGGGAGATCGTAATAAAATGAAATATGCATTTCAGCAACTACTTCGAGTGGATCTACACTTAGATGACGAAGATCGATATTTACAACACAATGTAAGAATTTAATTTTCTTCCACCATTTTTCTTCATTACTTTAGGATGATAAGCAATATGACTTGATCTTGGAAGTGATTCAAAATGATGAACTGCGCCAATACGAAAGAAAAAGTAAGTTGAAACCATACCCAGTCTTTGGTAAGTATATCGAACAATAAGAAGTACATTAATATAGTCTTATAGACACTTCACGAAGAGCTGTAGATTTACTTGTACAGCATTTTAGTATGATACGAATTCTTATTCAAAATGCTTCTTGATTTTTTTTCGGTTGTTTATAATGTGGTAACAACATAAGTACACTCAATGATTGTAGCTTGTTTACCTTCGATTACTGAGATCGTGAAAAATAGACATCCTGTTAGGCCATTTTGTTTATGTATTTTATTCATCTTTTTTGTTTCTGAATGCACACATTATTTTGATTGATTCTCTATCATTCAGATATCTCAAAATGTGATGTATACTTCTAAACAATTTCTCCATGTCCATATTATTATCGATTATCTTCATGCTAGTTCCTAATAACCACTGTTCTAACAAACAGAGAAGCAAACACTAAATAAGGAACTACATATTAAAACAAAGTAGTGGTAAAATAACTTATGAATCACTTGGTTATGTTGCGACGTAACTAAGGTACCTAATTAAGTATCACCGGATGAACAATATAGAATGGTGAGCTAGAAAACAAATAGGGCTTATCAAACCTAATCTTTATGTTGATCCGTTTATTTGTTTGACGTTAATTTAAAATACAAATATAGTAACATGTCGTATTGCAGAAAATCAGTCGTATACGGTTATTTTATGCGTTTAAACTTGTTTCCATATTTTTACCATTATTGTCATCACAAGTTTCGATCATTTCTTGCTATTTTGTCAAGTCTAACCAACAGTGGGGATTTAAAACGCATTCCAAAATTTAAGTGATCCACATTTGTGACAGAAATTACATTGTTTCAATCTGTTTATTACTCGAACCTCTGTGGTATATTACTACCGTCTAAAACATAATAATTCAGTCACTTCTGGTAGACGATAAACCTTGCTTAAGATCTCAACTTTTGTTGAAACTCAATGTCAGCTCACATTATAAACCTTCAGTCTTCTGATTCCTACCGTTAAATTCTAATTTTTATGGCGTAAAGATAAAATGGGTATAAACGATGCATATTCGTACAAGATATAATCGAATTTCTGCTACTAAGAGCTGAAGTTCACGATATCGATTAAAAGAATTGCTTCATGCAAACTGCGTTAGTTAACACTAATAACCAAAACCCAAGGCTAGTCTACATTACAAAACTACCACTGTAAGTGAATTGATTTCACAAGCACCAAATCCCTTTCTAAACAACATTATTAAAGTGTTTATTAATTAAACTAAAAGATAGTAGTGACACGTCTAGTTAACCAGCAGTCAACTTTACTTTGGACATATGTGATTAAATTCATTATATTAATGTATGTGTACTCATATAATTTTGGATTTGAGGACCAAATGAATTAAGTTTATTTAAACACAGTTTTGTCAATGAATTTTACATAAATTTATCCAGATATCTGTTTAGAAAGATACACCGATTGTTGTGAAGAATTCATTCTACTTCGCGATAACTATGCAAGTTCCTCTGAAACTGATAGGCGATTTTATTTTTCTTGAGTTCTAATAAAACTACAGATTGTTATTGGGGGGCTATTTTTCTACTAAATCTGGACTAATGAATGATTATCGAACGTTTATTAAATTTGATTTAAATTACCGCAAATTATTTCTTGACTCATTCTTGTTTGTTTCAAACAAAAGGAAAGTTCAAGCAGAAAATTTCATTAAATTGGCGGCCAAAATAATTTCCCCAGTAATTGAATCCAATTTTTCTGTTGGGTATGATTGGTGTATTGACCAAGTGAAAATGTCCTCTTATCATGAAATTGCACATGATTTAGAAATTGATAAAGCTGTGATGTTTTTAAAACAAAAAGATTTCCATCAGGTGAGATTTAGATCTAAATATGTACTGATAATGATGTTTATACACAGGTTTTTATTATCATGATCAGTTGTTTCTTTGTCGAACAGGAATTATTGTAACTTTAATCTACAATTTACTACCACTGTGACGTTTATTTTGATGAAAAGCTGTTCTTTATACTTGCTTTCGTAACACATTACGACGTAATTCACATAAAACCATAGAAAATTAGGAATAAGTGTTCCATATGCTCAAGTTACTAGTAAATAGTAGTTTTCGTCCATCTGATTAACATATTCGAACAAAATATGAATCATTTAAACATGAACCAGAAAGAGAAATGAAAAATAAGTCAAAATAAAACGCCCTGAATCTTGATAAAGTATCTTTGCACTACTGTAATTGATTTTGTACTATGTCACATAGTATATCTAATTGTATATATGTGAAATCACAGCATAACATTTCCTGAGGAAATCATTGAACGTTGTATCGCTGCAAAACCTTAATGACACAATGATAGGTAATAAATCGTATAGAAATAGTTGATGAATACATGTGTCTTTATTTGCGACAAATAAGTTTTAGCTTTACACAAGCAATACGTCAAGTATTATTCCCATCACCTACTTTTTATGTTATTAGTTACTTACGCCTGTTAACCCTCGTCGATGAGCATAGGCCGACCACCAGCACTTTCCATTCTATGTTATATTATCTTCAAAATAATTGCATAACTATTCAAGAAGTAGGTTGGTAAAAAGACTTTTTGATATTTCTCAATACTATATTCTTAATTATTTATGAATATGTAATATGACTTAATAACTCTGTAAATGTAAGTGACCTTTTGACACAAAAATACCTTGTAATTCTTCTCATCTCTTGATCTTGACAATTTGGTAAATATTATAATTTAACTAAATTAAATTTATCGCAAAAATCACTGGAACACTATTTAATACTGGAAAGAAAAAGTTGTATACGTTTAGCATTTTATCACAATATTAAAATATTCATCTATATAAATCTTTCACTTTCAACTATCAAAAATTTTTATGATTGTTAATGTTAAATTTAATTTTTGAAGTTAGTTTTTTTTGTAAGCAATGATAGATAGTGGCTAGCAGTGGAATCCAGGATGCGCGTTTCGTCAGGACTCAGTAGCTGAGCGGATAATGCGATGTCGTTCGGAGCGAATGGTACTGCGTTCGAGTCCCGGAGTGAACATCAACTCAGATGCAAGCACATCCAGCTGACGAGCCCCAAATAGGACGAAAACGCGTGTCCTGGATTCCACTGCTAGCCACTATCCATCATTGCTTACAAATAGCTTGTGAATTAAGGTAATATCGAGGTATACGCACAGTATGCACATATGCCAATAACAGACTGATCATTTACAGTCTTAAACCTCAATGGGAAGATACAAGCCAAACAATACCAAGGGAATTAGTTTTTTGTTTGAAATGATTCCAGTTAGGCTTTAAATTTATGTTTTCTTTTTTTAAAGGCAATTGTTACACTGAAGTCGTTTGAAAGAAAAGATACACGTGTTGCATGTACAGCTGCTACAAATTTGTCATTTCTATACTTTCTTGAAGGGGATTTACTACAAGCTGAAAAGTATGCAGATCAAGCTTTATCTGTTGATCGATATAATCCTGCAGGTAAATGATTTACGACGTTGTTATATTTTCTTTTTAATTAACACTAATCGTTGTATCAAATACAATATTATTTGATTGTAATGCATCTATCCAATACTACTGTTCTTCATCATTTACATTTACATTTATTTACAAAGCGGTTTGATACTATAAAATAATCTTTTAACATTTACGCTCAAAATTTCATATCAATTCATCCATTCTAAAAAGCAAATATGTTTAGAGTTTATCACAAAAAATTCAAATTATTTAACCAACATATTGAACTGCGTTGTTAGATCTATCGAAGCGTCTAGGTCACCCGATTGAGATACGTGCGAATCCGAAGTTCCAAAACAACGATTTGTCTACAATAGCGGTTCTTTATTGAATAATACACAAAATTTAGTTACAAACCTCAACTTGTGAGGTGTATGGGGCGTTTGAACGCGTCCTTCAAGTATGAAATAAAAGGGCTCCCTATAACAGTACCATAAAGAATAATTACAACATACGATAGTACAAAGGACAGCTGATATCTGTGTCTAAATATGATAACAGTTTATGAACAACCGAAACCCGAATCAAGAGCAAAACAATATGGAAACTGTTGCGCTTAAACAAATGCACGAAACTGTGGATAACCGCTACAGTGATTATAATCATAAATACAATGATAAGTACAATAAACGTTATAAGTATATGTGAACATTTCAGAACATAAACTACAATTTGCGTTACAACATAAGTTAAAAATTGTTGGGAATACAACTGCTTAGTGAATGCAAATAAGTAGTATAAAACAATATACAAAGGAGTCGAAAAGGAGAGAGTAGGAACAATGTAAGACAAACTTAACAAGTGTAATTATGATTCAAAGTGATCTATTGCATGGAATAAGTAATTTTATATAACGTTACGTGACAATAGCCTATGAGGTTAACAAAAATGTTTTATTGCCATCAGTCAGTAAGTTTTTCTCCGAATGTTTGTGCATTACATTGTTATCTGTTACAGTCTACTTTTAAATTTATTTAATTTACATGTGATTGGACTGTGATAGTTCTAAGAAATAGCTAAAATTCACTGTAAAAAAACTCACCATTTTATTTATCAAAGATATTGAGTTTGGTATTTTGAGAATATGAAATTTTTATCAACCCCAATTGTTATATTTAGAGCTTTGATTGTTAATATACTGAGTACAACTTGAGCACTCAAACGTTAGAACCCTCCCAAGTCGCAAATGTGAAGAGAAAACACAAGTGAAAGGAATGCTATTCCAAAAAGTATCACTTATTGCATAAAACTGTCAGGTATTTATAATTTTTATTAAAACCTAAATCATCAATATAGTCCTCTAATCCGCATACAGAGGGTTATTAGGGGTTGTCTAATAGAGAAGCTAAACGTAGGGATTCTGAAACATTCTCCTAAAAGACAATTGGACGGAATATCTTCGGCTCTTTCTGAGCTTCTTAGAGTTTCCTCGAGTTCACCAGTAAGCCGTCCTTACACCAATCCATCCCCAGTATTCTTGTAAAGCGACTCAACTCAAAATGAACTAAAAGAATTATCACATTAAAATTATCAAATACTTTATAAATGGAAAACGGAGAAAACTAAGAGAATTTTACAGCAAATATAACTTATCATTTCATATCATGGAGATTTGGGGTGATCTTGAAAAATATGATCAAAGAAACTAGTTTAACAACCACAGTTATAATTCGAAAAATAATACACTAAACGCATAACACTACTGTTGCATAAATAAACTGATTGGGCATTAAAATTTTCATTGAGCGTAGCTCTATGTCTAATAAGTCAATGACAGTATATTTACTGTTGTTTTAAAACACGTACAAACGAAAATAAATCAAAGTTCATGACTTTGATACTTATCTACTGTAGTACACAAACAGTCATCATGGTCAAAATGCCAAATACTTGATATATTAATAACACAACAACAACAAAAAGGTAATCATTTACTAGAAGTCTTAGTCATTACGAAGCTTCTTTTTAAAAATTTAGATTCCATACTAATATACATATTGTAAATAATAGATAATTTGCTAAGCTGTCATCTTTGACAAAGTTGTCATTCATTTATACACGGATAATTTTTTATATCTTGTAAGTTCATCATCAAAAAAGCATTTATTAAAATCCCTCTTAAATTTATTTGTCTTAAATTGTAAGAAACATATGCTCACGTTTCACTGATTTGAGAGATAACTGAAATAAAAGGATATAGATTGTAGTGTCGATTACTATGTTAAGCCCATATAACTTATTCAAGATTCTGGACAAGCCAATCCATCCATTTTTCTTGAATCACGTTTTGATCTTGTTAATTATTTACTTATCAACCCTGACTGATCTTATATGAACATATGTGTGTACACTTCTTATCCCATTCATCGCACGCCAGGAGCTTAACCAACTAGCCCATTGAGCCGAGACGGATAAGTTCTGGGTTCGAAGCCCGCGAGGCGGGGACGTGGATGCGCTTTGCTGATGAGTCTCACAACAGGACGAAACGGCCGTCCAGTGCTTCCAGGTTTTCATGGTGGTCTAGCTTCAATTGACTCATGATCTCAACTGTTGAAATTACTACAATCTCCACAAAACCCCTTCTGACTACTGTTACATTATAGGTAGTCATATTCTTTGAGTAAAAAATGTAGTTCACAAATACCGATTAAACGGACAAAAAAATAAAACTAAAAATAAGATGCCCAACAGATTAGGAAGTTCATTTTTCACAAAACCTTAATTTAAAATCTTACATAATTTCAAATCAAATAATCGAGTATTCGAACAAAGAAGAAACAAATATCATATCAGAATTAAATGAATTCATTTATCTCGTGGATTCCCCTCAGCTGCTTATAAACTAAAACCATAATATTGATCATTAAAATGAAACAAATATATGTACTTCGCATCAGAAATATCTAGAATAGACAGTTTAAATGTAGTATTAAGAGAACATAATACAGAAGAATTAAAATTGGTCAAACATTCGATTACTTATAAGTTAAATATATAGAAGAGTGTGTGAACAAAAATGTTTCCTTCTCGAAACAGACAATAGACTGTGTAATATAGACTAACTGAGTAAAGCTCAATAGTAAGGACTAAGAGACTAGAATTTCGACTAAAATTTGTGGAAAAATAAAAATAAAGTCTTACGTAATTATCTCACAAAAATAAGGTCAGCGGGGAAATCAAGGTTTATATTACACAATCTATTGTCTGCTTCGAGAAAGAAACATTTTTGTTCCCATAATCGTTCATATACCATATGGAATACCAATTCCCTCCAAGATTTCAAGTACCGCTGCCGACGATTGCTAACTGAAATATAGTCCAGGTTCAAGGTTTGCTGCCGACTATATCCAACTACCTAACATATTCAACATGAATACCTCCGCTTGATGCACCGCGGTTAATAAATAAAGCATTACCAGTTTTCACTATTAACTTTGTCAAATTATGTATTTTTTATTACCTGACACTTTTTTTAATAATTTAGCGCTTGTTAACAAAGGCAACGTTTTCTATAAACAACAACAATATGAGAAAGCTCGAGATTGTTACTTGGAAGCATTGCAAGATGATACACAATGTGTAGAAGCTTTATATAATCTTGGTTTAGTATGTAAACAATTAGAAAGATATGAAGAAGCTCTTGAAGCCTTTTTCAAACTACACTCTGTTCTAAGAAATAGTGCACCAGTAGTTATCAGTTAATGGACATCTATGAGAAATTGGGAGATCCTACACAAGCACAGGAATGGTAGATATAAAAACATTTTTATCTTGTATGTTATTTTAAATCCTAAAAATCACTTATGGAACACTTTATATGTCACTGACCATATTCATGCTGTCTGAATGAAATAACTAAATAATTAGTTAATGCCTTTTTTTCGTCAACACTACCTAGAAACTGGTTTAACTATAGTTTCAAGGACACCAGTTATAATTCCTTATCCAAAAGACATATTAAACAATTGGCTTCCGTGTATTAAGTATTATCAAGTAGTTTCATTAAAGGTTTATATTACAGTTGAATTCTATATTGCGTTATATTTACATGAAAAGTTCCACAGCTTTATATATGATAACAATGTATTAAGTCATACGTCCACCTTAAGTGATCATATATATACAAGATATAGAATTTATACCATTCGTCCGAAAGTGTCACAAATGTTAGTTAGTCGAATACAACTCATATGTTTTACTGATGATAATGATAGTCCACCTCCATATCGAAAAGCAATTAACAGAATTTTATTACCACCGTAGCTTAAATAGTGACAAGATTTACTTACGCCTGTTACTCCTAATGGAGCATAGCCCGCCGAACAGCATTCTCCAACTAACTTCGTCCTAAGTCTTCCTTTCTAGTTCTATCTAATTGTTGTTCATTCTTTTTATGTCTGTCTCCATTGCTCAGAGTAATGTATAGGCGGATTTAGTGAAAAAATTTACTTCTCAGTAATCAATTAATGTAAAATGAGATGAATAAAATATTTTTAAATTAATTAAATTAGCATATAACAGAATGTAGTTTAGAACAAGTTTGTTAACAAGTGGTTAGAACCAACATTTTTTTAAAGCTTCATTAATGCATTGATTATAATTCAGTTAAGAATATCAATAATCAGTAGTCGAAACAGTGTTTTAACTATTTTTGAGTGTCCCCTAACTACACTAGAATAGATTTTCTTAAACAAGGATTATAAATTTCTTTTTAGAATTAGTGTATTTTAATAGGACATATTGATTATTTATGATTATTCGCAAACTTCTCTAATTATGCTTATTCATTAATCCTTGTTTAGTAAACAAACTTATTTTATAAACTATAGTTAATAATGATGAGAAGTGTTATTAATCTCATCTTCCAAATTTATACAGATTCACAGTATAAATGTTAATAAGTAATATATTTAGTATATAAAGCATTTCTTCACTTTAATTTAATGACGACAGTGATTAAAAAAATTGAATGGACTTCCAACCTGTACTATTTAAAAATAACATGAGTCTAGATTTACCCTGGTAATGAAACTAAACTAGAATAGTAAATAAATAAAACAATAATTTTTAGTAAAAATGAAATTACTACAATGAACTGTTAGTTGTAAAATTAATATACAAATTGATTTCCATTTCAATGGGGTCAACAAAACAATCAAAATATTTATCAGTATAGTTTTCTATGGAAATTGTATAGTTTTATGGTTTAAATCTCAAACAGATCTTAGCTACACCACCAAATGAAAACCAGGAAGTACTGGATAGTTGTTTTATTCCAGTTTGGGACTTTCCAACAGTGCGCATTAACGACTGGGAAAATGTGGATCTAACTTAGAAACTCCCTTATCGCGCGAACGTTTAACCTGCAGACCACTGGACTGGGATTCAATAGTCTACAAGTCTAACTTCAACCAATATACGACATTGTGTGATCATCCACCTTTATCTTTCGTAAGTACCTTCCTCACACACAACACAAGTTAGCTCCACTGGTTATCCCTTCTCAACAGAACTTCAGTAAGTTGCATTTCTTAACCAGTCACTGCTAAATCTGTGAGTGTTATGAGTATGGAGTTCACTTCCATGTAGCGGGATTGCAAATGAGCATTACTCAGAAGTCCCATACTAGGGCGAAGCCAATATCCAGCTCTTTAAGATTTTTAGTGATGGTTTAACCAAAATCTCTTCATGACGTAATTTATGGAAATTAAAATAAATGTTTAACAATTTGTGCATTCTAGTATAATTGATTTATAAAATCAAACATAGCTTTAAGAAATATAATCCGGTTTAATGTTGTTTTAGGGAGATATTTGCTTTGAAAGAAAAAATATCACGTAAGATTCATATGTTGATACTTTATTGACCATAAACAAATCAATATTTTATTCATAATGATTTTAGGGCAATGCAGTTACATGGTATGGTTCCAACTGATCCTTTTCTTCTACAAAGATTAGGTGATAGCTATGAACAGGAAGGTGATAAATCTCAAGCATTTTCTTATTATTATGATGTAAGTCAGTTGGTAAAAACTGATGAAATTATATCAGTGTAGCTAGGTTCTTTTGTAAATATAAAGACTTTTACATGATCTTTGTCAAACATTATAACATGGAGTAATTTCCTATTTTCATGTTCTTTTCGTTTGATTAGTTTTTATTGAAAATGTAATGAGCACTTTGAAAGTTATCTTACAATGTGTTAGGTGGTAACAATTAGCCATACATATCTCTGTTGTTAATTAACATGTTCTTTTTGAATAGATCTTGAGTTTGAGATTTAAATCTTGTGAAACTCATACCATATATGTTATGGTTAATAATTTAATATTAAACACAGTGAGCTCAAATTTTATGCTACTTAGTTTGCATGCATTTTGATGGCACGGCTACTTCTGTTTTTATTATTTCGTACATAGTTTAATTTACACTAGTAAACTATTCGTACATTTATGCAAATAAAGTGTATGCACTTATGCTTAAAAATTTTAAATCATATTTACTGCAATACAAGTAAAACCCTTTAATGAATGTTAGTCCATTAGCTTTCATAAACATGACAACAGTAATATTATTGATAATTTAGTAGATAGAAGGACCTGTTTCTAAAAATTTGTGAACTATGAACTCCATGTCTCATGCATATGCACAAATAAAATAAACAAATAAATTCAAAGGACAAATGTCGTTTGTTTGTTAATAAACATTTCTGCACTATGAGATCATATTCACAGTAAAAGAAAAATGACACCTTAGAAACTAAATTGTATGCTAAGTGTTAGTGAAAGACAGCTTCTAATAGTATATGACAACGATATGAGTTATATCCATTATATCCATTTTCAATTGTCTGAAGATGACCAGGTGACAAAGATCGGAATGTATAAACTCAAGTGATTGACTGATGTAGTACGCAAAGCCTCTTATTCTTAAAATAACAAAACATCTTAGATAATTTTATTGATCTTTCAATGTTGTGTTATTTAGTATTGAATTAAGAATTTAAGATTTATGTTATCTTCTTATAAATCTACATTGTGCTTTAATTCCAATAATCTAAACAATAAAAATTTGATTAAATTTAATTTCAGTCATTTAAATATTATCCATGTAATTTTGACGTAATTGAATGGTTGGGAGCATACTATATTGAATCACAGTTCTGTGAAAAAGCTGTGGCTTATTTTGAACGCGCTAGTTTAATGCAGTAAGCAAGACTGCTATTGTTTATATCTTTTTTGTTTTGTGAACAAAAGTAAATAATAATTTCATTATATGAACCTTTTAAAACTTAAAACACTTTGTTTCACCAGGAAATCATCTAGAAAAATCGTTAAACATTCAGTGAAAAAAACTAATACTACTACAGTAAGTACCAAACCGCAGTTATCAGCGATATTCAGTTGAACCTACATTACGAATATTACACACCATTTTTAAAACAATTTGACCCTAACTGAATAAGATTGAGAAGTATTACTTTCACATTGTGAAAAACTGCCTATACCGAATAGTCTTGAGTGATCGAAGTAAACTGAAGAAATTTTCTAACAGAAATTATGGACCAGTCGATAGCACGTGAGAAAATTTACAAAGTTAAAACTTCATTAATACCATACCCTGAATGCTTAGATTAATTTTCTAAGAGAAAAAAAGTTTCTACCTAGGCTACTTAACGAGTACTAGTAATCATATTACTTACTTATACAATAACTAGACTGTTTATCGGTTCCATTTACTTTTCAACAGCGTTCAAAACCAAAATGTATCATCGATTGCCTTACGTTAATTGACTAAATTAAGACATAACATACAAGCAGTTAACTTTTTTATTCAAATGTCTATATTGTAAATATTTCACTAGAAATAAACAACGAAATTAGCCTCAGTATCTGTAAAGACAGAGTATTTTTATACTGTTGCATGTTTTGAAATAGGCTGATTGGTTCCCAATCTCTCGTTATCGTTCTAAACAAAAACATCAGTACCTACTTCCGTGGAGATAAACACTAAACTATCCATTGTCGATAAAGCTAGCTGTGTTTGATTATCACCGCTTGTTTTATTATTTTCATCTATCTTTGAATCTCCGTTGGCTAACCTGTCCGGTTGACCTCTGATTAAGTGAATTCAAGACACTGTGTCTTTTGATTGAAGTTTTATCTGAATACAGTGTTGATAGAAATTCTGTTAGTTTTCAATAGCAGAATATTATAACAGAAAATACATAAGTAATGAAGAAATTCAAAAATTAACACCTAATGACATGTAAGCTTGAATAACAACAGTTATAATCTTTATCTCTTCGAACTTTAAAAGGTTTTGGAAACATTTAACGACATATAGTACAATTGATTTGGATAGATACAGAGACTGTAGCCAGGCTTCAATAAAATACGTTTTATAGATAGACTGACACCAAATAGACTTTATTTTGAGATAATGTATTATGTGGAAACGACTGAAAACTTTTTCATACGTCGAAAATGTAACACATGACTGAAAAGTAAAATGTTTCAACTTCATTGGATATTTGGGATCTTGTATTGTCTTAATTAATCAATGATTGGTCACTTCTAATATTTCTAGTTTCCTTGGAATGTTCAAGTATAAGACGTCAGGGTATCAAATGAGATCTTATTTGGTTCAAATTTAAATTACTAACAAAAGAGCTCAACAAACTTAATACTCAATCTTGAAAAAGTCTTTATAAAGTTTTACTTCACACATAATGAAGTAAGAGCTTGTAATGTTTGGCATACCGATGAATAACTCAATTAAGAGCTAAGGAAAATTCACAAATGTAATTCTTGATAGTTTTAAAACTGAGGTAGAAGGTTCACTTACATAGCGTTTACAACTCATATCATCAAATTATTGCAATGTTAAAAAACTGACGTCTTCTCGAAACCATTTATTGAAATCAACGATGGAACTTGGGTCGAATTAAATTGATTATCGTAGATGCATCTAATGCATTTACAGCTGATTGTTTTAACACAATATACTATTCTTTTTTAATCAAATAGGGTTAATTTGGAAAATGTACTAAATAGGTTTCTTAATGTTCAATGTCTGTTTCAGTAAGATCAACTTGTAGTGATAAAATGTTGAAATCTTCCTAGAATCCCTCATCAATTATTTTTGTCATAACTATTGTATAGTTTTTGGAAATCTAGTAGTTTAAGAAACTTATCTGTTTTGTCGTATTTGTGTTTACACAATCGAAGTATTTGCTTGTTTTTATATTGTAGACCGAATCAAATCAAATGGCAGTTGATGATTGCTTCATGTCATCGACGAAGTGGAAATTACCAACAAGCTTTAGAAACATACCGTATTATCCACCGACGATTTCCAGAGAATATTGAGTGTAAGAATGATTTCATGTCATATAAGTATCCTACCAATGTGTTTAGATGCGTTCTCAAAAAAAAAATAATTAATATTTTGTCAATGCAGTATGTAAAGTTAAATGTAGCAGAATTGATCGATGAAAGCGAGTGTATATTAATTTCTCTTCATAACAATTTCGCCCGTGTTCATCGATTAAAATAATAAGCCTTGAAGTTTTCCTATTTCCATCAGCTTAAAACCTCCAGTTTAAGTAAAAAGTAAAGTTGCATTTTATATTCAACCATCTGTTGTTCATTCACTTCAACCTAAAACAAGAAATGTGTTCATCAGTTAACCTACTACTCAGTTTCTAAGTAGGAGTTATCAAGAAAATCTTTTCCTTTACTAAGTTAAAAACATCATATCGTTCTTCTGAAAAATTTGACTTCTTTATATTAATATTGTGGATGTAAAATGTACTTTGTAAAAAAGTTTATACATCATGTAAATAGTTGATTGAATGAGATAAAGTTTACAGACTAGAAATTAGGAAATGTTCAGTCTTCGTTTAAAATTACTGCTAATTATATAAATGAGTAAAAACAACTAAGGTAATTATATTACACTGATCATGAGATTGAAACATTATTTAAATCTCGTTCAAGATCTTGTAAACTATTTAGGGCATACAAGTACAACAACGACACGAATAACTGAATATAGGTTTGGTCATTGTATTTTTTAATATACACCACATAAACAGGAATATAATTTATAAATTGGATAATCACTTCACAGACAAAAATGTAATGCGCATAAAATTTACTCATAAGAAAATATCATATTCTTAAACATCTAATTTACAATAATGTTTATCTAAAACTATCATGACTCTAAGAGTAACCACTGTGATCAAAATCTAATCATTTATTTCGATAATGATATTAGAAGACGAAGATTATCAGAACTATGTGATATATTAGCGCAATACATTTCGAATAATCTGGTCACACATATACTTGTTAAGAGCATTTATATATAAAAATAAAAGGTCAACTAGACAGGAAACGGGGTAAGAGGAGATAAGGATAATGATAAGAGTAATAATAATAATAATAATAATAATAATAATAATAATAATGTGAACACAAAGCGAAACCTAATCACTCTGGATAATAAGTCAATATTACCAGGGTAGGTTTAAGGTAAGAACAAACTGTTTTTGAACACATAAAGGGGGTTTGAATTTTCGTATGGCTAAGGCTTCAATGAACCTTAGTATACGCCCTTTTACACTTTTATACAGCACTACAAAAGCTGAATTTAGATCAATCTTGTGACCTGTTTCAATTATATGTTTAGCAATAGAGGATGATGGATGTTTATCCTCTGCTCTTATTGGGTCACTTGATTGTATTTTTAGAAAACTAACGTGGACAGGTCAATATCTTAGTTATTATAGTTATTGCCCTGTGCAATACAAACGTGGTTTGATAAGGTGTCTTTTCAACAGACTCGACCGTATTTGTACCAATGACGCCATTGATGATGATGTTAAGTTGTTAAATAAAACGTTAATAGAAAATGGCTATCCTCTGAAATTCATAAATAGATGGAAACTCCATGGTTCAGCGAGACCTACTGTAGCCTCGGTAGAGAAAAAGCCTGTCTACATCACCTTACCATTCAGAGGTGATTCAAATAGCCTTTTACTCAAACAACGACTTAAATCAGTCATCAATAAAACCTATTGCGCAGCAAAGGTCATCATCAAAGAAAGAACAAGGTGCATGCTTCATTCAAAACCTAAAGTACATGGAAACGATTGCGTCACATCCCACTGTGTTTACCAATTTAAATGTGTGTGTGGTCACACATACATAGGGAGGAGTAATCGTGATCTCAACATTAGGGTGAGTGAACATGTACCCAAATGGCTTCAGAATCAAATACAATCAAGTGACCCAATAAGAGCAGAGGATAAACATCCATCATCCTCTATTGCTAAACATATAATTGAAACAGGTCACAAGATTGATCTAAATTCAGCTTTTGTAGTGCTGTATAAAAGTGTAAAAGGGCGTATACTAAGGTTCATTGAAGCCTTAGCCATACGAAAATTCAAACCCCCTTTATGTGTTCAAAAACAGTTTGTTCTTACCTTAAACCTACCCTGGTAATATTGACTTATTATCCAGAGTGATTAGGTTTCGCTTTGTGTTCACATTATTATTATTATTATTATTATTATTATTACTCTTATCATTATCCTTATCTCCTCTTACCCCGTTTCCTGTCTAGTTGACCTTTTATTTTTATATATAAATGCTCTTAACAAGTATATGTGTGACCAGATTATTCGAAATGTATTGCGCTAATATATCACATAGTTCTGATAATCTTCGTCTTCTAATATCATTATCGAAATTTATCAAAGGGACTAATTGTTTTAAATTTCTAGTCATTTATATCTAAATAATCAAAGTTTACACCTAACCAAACTTAATTAAAACTTCTATTTTGCTTGGTTTTTCGGTAGGTCTTCAATTTCTTGTACGATTAAGTTCTGATATGGATTTACCTGAAGCTCAAGATTATATAGCCAAATTGAAACGTGCTGAAAAATTGAAACAGGCTAGAGAACAGCGTCGACTGTCATCAAGTAACCGTCGAAGCTTTGGTCTAACAAATACATCTAGATCAACAGGTAGTCGTGAAAATTCAGCCAGTGTTAGCAGTGGAGGTAAATAGAATAAGTTGTGTTTTATTAAAGTCATGAACCAATCAAAGTCAGATAACCAGTGAGAAGCTGAAAGTACTAGAATGGCCAGATCGGTTCGTGATTTCAATGAAACTAAACAATCCGCATAACCTTACAGTGACAATTATCATATGTTCACTTGTGAACAACTTCAACAGGAAATGTTCGAAGTTCTAGTGAGAAGTTGTGACCTTTGGAGCTAATCTGTACCGGGTGTGAAGGTACCTACTGAAGACAACAAAAAAGTCACGCAAAATTGTGGATTTATTGGAGTTAGATTAGTAAACCATTGTTCGTCGGCTCAGCGGTCTAGAGGTAATGGGTTCGCGCGTGTGACAGAAGGTCCTGAGGTCGATTCACCGTGGTGTACTCGTGGATCCAAACGGCGGAGCCACATGCTAGAACGAAACGGCTACCCATTCATTTCATGTTTTCACTGGCTATCTGACTTGGATCGGCTCATGGTTTCAATGAAAGGATAAAAACTCTCCAAGAAATAATGACTAATTTCTATTGTTGAAATTTTTCTTATCATTATTCTCGCAATCTGCAGATGACATCTACTATGTGATAGATATGCTGTAAAAAATGAAATAAAACCCGATATACGAAACATTATTTCAACCATTACCACTCTAATCTGTTTGACTAAATATTTTAGAAATAACAATTAATAGTACTTCATATAGAACCGTAGTTAAGTAAATAATGACAGATTACTTTGAATGTGATATAGCATAATATGTGACAAATAAAAATGAGGCTACTGATTCAAACTAAGTAGTGTCATTTCATAGGGGAGATGAAACTTTCGACAAAGTTAGCTTTGATATTTCAATCTATATGATCATTGTTAAAATTTTATATTTTTTGTAGGTGAAAGTCGTGAAAGCAGTGCAAATTATGACAATCATTTCAATGTCCAATCAAAACATGCACATTCCAAAAATAATTCTTTTCGTCAAACTGAAGTCCGTAAAGAAACATCTCTTAGTAGGGATATAGACAATGAATATATTAAATATAACGATCCACTGGGACCAAGTGTCGAAAGACCGAGAACAGCAGCACGTACTCGACCAATTCAAGATGATTTTGCAGACGAAGAAGTTGATGAAAACCTGTTACCAGATTAATTGTTAATTTTTTTAAGAAACCAGATAAAAGTTATAAATAGTTTCAATATTATAGTTCACTCTCACTATCAAGTGATTTTGTATAGCTTCTTCTGTAATAAAACACTTCTCAATACACTGTAATCAGTGGATATTCATCTAAATAATAAGTCAAACCATCAACCAACATCATAACTCGTGTTTCTCATACATTACATAAAATATTTATGTATTTGTAAGCATACAAAATTACAATGAATGGCTGAAAGGCTTACAAATTCATTTGACGCAACTTTCCTGTCATTATCATTTTTGTTTTAGTTATCGCGTGTAAATTTCTTATCAGTATTGAAACAAGCGAGCACAGAAGCATTAAAAGTATGTAGACGGCATTCAAAAAAGATGCTTGTTAACTTTCTTACTGGTGGTCTGTTCACAGGATGCATTCGTGTAAGAAACATAAAAATCCTACCAAATTAAATGTAGTAATTAACCTTCCTGAAGCACTAATGGTTTGTGATAAGTCTTGCCAACTGAACGCTATATTCGGTTCCTGAGCTATTCTTGTAACCACCAAGCTAGAACTACACAGCGACCTGAACATGAGAGGAAAGGTATAAAATACGCGACAGCACCTTACTCCAAAGTCCCGTTTTAGTACAGAAAATATAGGGTTTTTGTAGTATTTTAGATGTCCTTGGGTTTCCCGAAAATTCTGGAATGTTACTAAGTATAGTAGCAGTACAGTAATCAGCCAACCAGAAGCGCTACATGTGACTTTCCACTTTCTTGATGTTTCTGGCTAAACTCTAACGCTGATTGGATAAAATGCTTCTTAGTGTTTTCCTGACCCTTTCTTGTCTTTTGCGGGTTTTCTGGATCACCCCAACAGTTTGAAACAATTATCTTAGACGGATATAACAATAAAATTTAAGCTGCTTCAAGATATACCGGTTTTACCAATGAATGCAGTGTAGTAGCGAGTTAAAATGTTCATCTACTATGTCCTATGTGATGGTTCATCAGACAGTCAGAATGAAATGATATAGATAGTAATTTTTTCTAAATGAATATGTTTCTGATTAACCAAAACATCTTGGATAACTACATTACATCATACACTAAGAACGTATTTATTACCTGACCAAGCTTAATTGTTTCATGGATCCCAATCCAATGACGTTTAAATAGAGTAACAAGAACTATAAATTACAAGTGAATCTATATATAAAACCTCTGTAAATTATGTTATTAACCGAATATGTCAAGGGTCAAACAGTTACTTGAATTCCTACAAATTACCATGCTTAAGTCTTAGTCTATAAATATCTCATAATTTCTGAATGAATACTATTATTTCATATCTGCGTAAAACTATATTTCTAATGTGAGGATTGTTGTCATTACATTAATTTATTTGGAACTTCATTTTTTATGGGATTTCACGAACTCACTGGTATGCAAATAAGTGAATGGGTGGTTCATAATACAGGTGAGAGCTTGAGAAAGTTTATATTGTTTCTAAATGATCAATCAAATTTCTTCATTTGTCTATTAGTTCTTTTGGCTTGAAGTTGAAAAACATATAATAAAGGTGTTCATCCATATGACCGCATAGCATCCTTGCTTGGGAATCTATACATAGTTCTGTAAGTGCAGTTAGAAACATAAACGATGCACTCACAAAACCTACCTTTCTCTTCTTTCGTTATACTTTTATTTAGATGTAACAACTTCACCCATTTCAACAACTTTCCCGACACCAGCAAAAGATCATTGTAGTCATCTTGTATAGCTCGAGCAGATTTGTTAAATCAGTTTCAGACTTAACTTGCATTTTCGTTATCTTATGGTGGTCGGTATTCAAAATAATCCTTAAACTTCGTAAACAGTTCGTCCTGCTAACCGTTACTGTATCACCCCCCAACGGTGTATTAATCAGAAGGCGAATAAGAAGTGTTGATTAAGTTTATTATTACACCACGCACAAATCACCAAAATTACAGATACACTAAGCAAGCATGAAAGAGTAGTGCCGAAAAGCAAGCGAGTCGAATGAACAGGATTAAAATGTACATAGTGAAATGAATGAATCATCGAATCAAACTGACTGATAGTAAGGCTAGCAGGATGAATATATGAGTATGCAGTAAGCAATGCTCAAGCACACATATTTATACAAGTGCAACAATGGTAAAGATCCAATTGTATAGATAAGTTGTTACTGTACGAATGACTGTGTCCGTTAGATCAGTTAACAAAAGGACTTAACTAAATTAAATGTGAACAAACTCAATTGCACGTGAGCTGCTATAGTCTAATGTATTGTCATGATCAGCAGTTATCTCAATGTTAACTTTAAGGCCTCATTCGGCTAACGAACCGCACGTTTGACGCACTAGTCCCTATCTTTTTACCAGTCAACTAAACGACCACAGTAAACATGCATTCGAAGGCATTAAACAATATCATTTTCTGTCAAACTACTTATTAGTTTTACATTTCAAAGTCAATCAGTCCTTGTTAACATACGGCTTGCCACAAATGTCTGTTATGATTGAGATCATGATTAGATTAATGTTAGACCACCATTGAAAAAACCTAGAAGCAATGGACAGCCGTACCGTCCTAGTATAGGACCTATCAGCAGTGTGCACCCAGGACACGAACGCAGGACCTTCGGTCTCGCGCACGAACGCTTAACTTCCAGACTACTGAACCAGTATCCAACGGTGTGGATGCGCACTGTTTAGGAATCTCATACTAGGATGAAACGTCCATCTAGTGCTCCCAGGTTTTTAATGATGGTCTAAAATCGATCCATTGATGATCCCAATCAAAACTTAACAATATCCACAACCCTATACTGAAAATGTCTGTTAGCTTAAAACGCTATACCGAATGAACACGAGATGGAATCATTAGAATGAACGGCATGGGAGTAGAGCTAGTAGTATAAATGATAGTCGCATAAATCAGACAGTGAAGAATATAGTCTAGAAAGAAATTATATTGAGACTTAAGATCTAGAGAATGTATTTGAACTAATACAACGGACTGAGTCATCACCCTCGCCCAACCAATAACTAGGACTGTCTTGTGGGTCTCAACAAATTAGTTTGTATTTTCCAACACATTTAAGTCAGATAATCATGGATTCTTACCCCTACCTACTCCCACATTACCCAGCAATGCGCATCGAGGGATGTGTTGATTGGGTATAAGTAATACATGTCCAAGTCACCTTAACCGATGAATAATTACTTCATGTCAAATATCATCATAGCTTACTTAGTGAACTTGTCACATCTGAGTAATACTTCAAAGATATCTACAGTCAAATACCAGTAACCCAAGAGTATCGTCTACTTTCGTAGGCCATGTTTCACAACCATACAGTGATATAGAGCGCGTTGATGTATAATGTACTCATAACTTGATTGGAAGACAGGTATCTTTTCTACGGCACGAGTGAGCACACTGACAGAAACCAAGAGAGATATAAGAATCCGTGTCAGCCACCAACAAACGATGGTTAATGAGACTGAATCGAACTGGCGTGCGCCCAGCCGCTTCACTCTATCATTAGTGTAAGGACTGACCCAGACCAGTACTGAAGTAGCATTCTGCTTTTGGATAGAAACAAATACTAAATATGATTCTACTGTCACTCAAGTTCAAAAGATTGGATAGTGTATCTTCCACAAATAGGACTGTCATTAAGTGAACCTGATAAAATACCGACCTCTCAAATTTATGATTTCTGGGGCGAGAGGTAATTTATAACGAAATAAAATACTAAGAGTAATAGTATATACAATCTTAAAGGATACAAACTGAGATTGTCAATCCAGATTACAGTTCGCCCTAAGCGCTGATTTAACCAGAAGGTTCTTAGTAAAGAACCTTAAGTTAGGATACATAACTACAGGTGAACGTGACTTGGGTATGCTGGGACCTGGAAGTATGAATATTTGATTGATACATCCAGATTCCAGTTTGAATTCAATTTAGATTTTCCTAGTTTGTTATTTTCGAGATCTAAATAATGATAGAGCGATAATTGAGGCTAACATGTTGGGACTATACAAAACAAAGTAATTCCTTTGCAGAAAGATTTGTCATTTCTAAACTGACAGTTAGTGAACATGGCCGGTCAGACGGGACTACCCCAAGCTCCTAAACTCTAGCAGCTAATACTGGACCACCATGACTAAATAACTTTCAAGTTAATCTATCAGGTCCTGCTGATTTCCCTTGCTTCAAAATAGATATGACCATATCCATCCTTAAAAAAGTTGGAAGAATTGTAGCGATTTCTTAATCAGGTTGTTGGGAAGAGGTGAATTACTGAAGGTCAGCTGAATTGTTGCCCACTATGCCGTCCATTCGTTTAATCTCCTAAACCTAATAAATAATATTTCCGTTTTTTTTAGAAACACATCAGCTGACAACCGGCTTTCTAATGCATCTATTTGTGACATGTAAGGACAGATATCTAGTGCTGCTTATCGCCTTTCTTTCCCGTCTATTTTGCTTTTATTGTCCACCATTGATTATGATCATTTCATAATGTTTTTATTAGCCTATGTTTGAGTTGTCGTCAATCTGTCTTTTTCCGAGTATAACAGGATGAATTTTAAAGCAGTTAAGAATTTGATAAGAACTTCAGGAATTTAATGGTCCTTCCTAACCTTTTGACTCAAGTTGATGACAGATATCATTTTAGTGCTTACATGTGTTTGGATATCATAACAACGACAATGACTGATGGTTATATAACCTTATTTCTATCCATAGTCGTGTCGAGGTTGAGGGCCGCTAGGTTATGTAAGTCTTTTCTTATAATCAATGTTGATACGTGGCTATGAATGAACAGTGGTCTGAACATTATCAGAACAAACAGTAACCATTATCTGTTCTCTGGGTTGAAATATCAAAAGATTCGCCTGTGTCTTTTAATTAGACATTCCCTCTCTCCTTAGGGGTTACTATCACTTTTTACGAGTAGAAGTGCTCCAGATGATCTGGAAGAATAACTCCAGAGGCCAAAAGATAATTGCTTGAAGCCGGTTCATAACAGTCTTCTCATGAATTTTTGGTTTATTAACACCGTACGTTTCAAGCCTTATTACAGACTCCAAGACCAAAATAATTATGCTACTTGAAGAATCACTTAGTATCCATTCAGATACTTCCTATTATTCCACCAAAATTTATTCATCAGATCAAAAATATAACAACATAAAGACAAAATACGTAAAAAAGAAAAGGATATACAACATTAAGTCACGGCATATAAATGATAAAAACAATGTACAAACAAGTTAAGAACTATCACTAATTATTAAACTAATTAAACTTGTCCATCCTGAAAACGGATGACCACGTTGACCATTTCCAGTCTGATCGTTATACTGTTCCCATAAATGACCTGTTCGTTCAAGTCCACCTAATACGGTACGTGCTAAATTTTGCGTCAGTTGTTCAGCCAACCGTTTAGCTTCTGCAGCGACAGGTATAGGTGTACGTGAATGGTGAGAATAATAACGTAGTGACTGTACGGCCAAATAATTTATATTTATCCATATAGCACCTCGCCAGTAGGGTGGGTCATCTTTGGTATTGTGTGTATGGTAAAAAGGAGACTTAAGATTGATTGAACGCAAGCCGAACTCAGACCACAGCAATTCCTCATTACTCAGGTCAGCTAACAAACGAGGAAGTCGTGGTGATGTAGGAGAAAGAACTTTCAAAAGAAATGGGAATAAATTTACATATCCAAACGAGGTGTCCACTAACTGCAGTGATGGCGTTTTCACAGTTACTCGTACCAATCTCATCTGCTATGGTAAAATCCAATGTGAAATTAAAGGAATAATTACAAAATATATAATATCGAATGCTTTAATCACAATAGTTATTTTCATTGAGTGACTTCCTCGCTGTTGAAGTAATCATACTATAATAATATGAGCTCACGACATTACAGCACCAGATCTTATTGATTTATCATAATTGAGTCTCCGTACCTGACAGTAATACTAACTATAATATCGCCATAGCAAATTAAACATTAGTGAATTGAAAAAAATAATGGAATCCCTTAACTACCCAAACCAAAATAGTTCAATTAGCTTTGAACATGTTTTTTGTACTAGGATAAGAGCTACACTTATCGTTCGAAGTTAAAACTTCGGTAGATAATGTTGGATTCCATCTAGTAGTTCAGTAATTAAATTGTTGGGGCCGAACTTTTAATTACAGAGTGCAGAGTAATATTCCAATCGCTATTTTAATTGTAAATCAAATTCTTGCAAGCAAGCCCAGAAAACATAAAATCCATATCTTCTTTCAAGATATCCCAAAATTATGATAAGAATTATGAAAACAATAAAAAGCACCTTAAAATAAGCACAGAATATTTTAAATATAAATGAAAAGGAAATATCAACGCGTGAAATCACTACCTCATTAGAAACATGTGGTCCCTTAGGTATATCAGGCATCTCTAGTCTAACAAAGTCTGTGTGCAGACCATAATCAGCATAGCGGCCCTGTTTTTCTGACCAATGAAGTCTATCCAGTTCACTCTCATCTGATAATAGATCAGCCCAACGAGTATATTCAGCAATCAATGAACGAGTCTCTTCTAGCTTTGATCGACCATTTGCATTTTGATCTGCCTGCATAAATTGTGTAACAACAGAAGTCAATCTTGCCATTACACGAGCAAACAAAGTCATCCAACAACGTAAATCAATGTGACGTTCATCATCAGTTGGATGAGAGGCACGAGGGAAATCATCTAATCCTTGAGACAGAAAACAAAACATGATATATATATATATATATATATATATATATATATATATATATATATATATATAGTAGTGAGCAAAGTGATAACAGAACAAAACAATCATACAACTTTTATAACAGTTGGTGAAAATGGATACATTATCACACAAAATGTTTTGAGTAATACACATGCAGCGCAGTAGGTTCAATGGCTAGATAACTGCATTTCCAACCAATAGTTCTCAATTTTTAAACATACTTTATACGGTTTAAGCATTTGCGTGATAGTTAATAAACACCTCATACAAACAATGAGGTTCAAAGTTGAGTACTTGTAATTGGTATATATAAATCTCACTAATGCTATTAAATGATAAGAAATACTGTCAAGTCTGGGTATACTACAAGTGTTTGCAAAAAATGAATATATTTGATCTAGACTATTATAAGAAACATAAAGTTGGTAGTATCCTAATTATTTCGTATTAAGCCATAAAAATTGTATCCATTTTTTTATCTATAAACTCAGTACAAGTGCACTAGGTAGGCAGAGATGAATATCCAGTCGAAATTCACGTAACAACTAATAAAACTTTAAAAAACACACAGTTATATATATTATTGTACCATTTTGAAAATGAACTAGTTGAAAATAATTACTCCGTTGAATAAAATATTTTAAGAGATGTATATATTCTAAAGTGATTTCCTTAATAATATAAATGAAACTGCATGTTTTCCATGATGTTTATATGAATTACAAGCAACAATAATTCCATTAGACATCGGAATTCCGTTTACAAAGTATTAATGTACCCTTAAGTGTGTCACAATGATTACTACGTTTAATGACTTAGAGTGAAATAAAAATAACATATAATGGCCATGTGCAAAATTCCTATAGAAATATTAACCATTATCTAAAAAAGGATTAAAGTGATACTCTCAAGCATTTACCAGAACTTAATGTAAGAGGGTTCAGCTGATGAATTTCATTTGGATTGCGACCGCGCCAGCGATATGACAGAGGGACAGGACCAATCTGAGTAGTATTGAACCATTGATACCAAACATGTAGCCTTGGAAGAATTAACAAAGACCAACGACGAAATTCATTAGCTTCAGCAACAGTTAGACGAGGCAAACGATCTAACAAAGCCTGCATGAATAGTACAAAATAATATATAATGTTGAAAGAATTTCAATAACAAAGAAACTAGAAACATACCAATAATAAATATTACATGCAACGATTATCAAGATACTAAGAACTATTGCTGTAAAAAATGTTAGTAATTTGTTGAGTCGGCTTCCGGAGAACTTCAACGGAGCCTCCAGAGGCCCAAAAGGAGCCGAAAGATCCTGGCCAATCAATGTACGATGGAACGTTCGAGAATTCCAGCGTGGCATGCTATTATTGGTCGGTAGCATAATATGACGTTAACGGATTGGCTGAAATATGATGTTCATTTAACAGACGCCAACATCTATAAATACCCTTGATTTTCTGTACAAGAATGAACCTTGGGATAAAGTATTTCCTCTCATACTTGTGTCTTCTCTCTGGTGTTCAAGTCGCTGTGTAGTTCTAGTCTGCGGGTTACCAGGTAGCTTAGGAAACTAATACAGCGTTCAATCCACACGACTTATCATAATTATGCTCATAACTGATAACAAATCAATGAGAAATACACAAAATTACAAAAAGGAATAAATAAAATACTCAGAAAATTGTTTAGGAAGTTTTGACCAACTGACTAGAAGCATATTCAACATAAACTACCCCAACTTGTCACTTTTTGAATGTTATACCAAACAATAAAGACTATAAAACATACACCCGTTAACCGAAATTACAGGATGAGAGCTATAAAACATGTTCCGACTATTTAAACTCCACCTACCTCCTCAAACAAGACTGAGTACAAATTTAAATTGCTGGTCAGACGACATCATTATTATGATCAATAGATTGGAACTGGTATACTGAAGACGTAGGACAATTATGAAATACTTTCAAATTACGAATAGCTAAGCAAGCGGTGAGATTTACCTGATGAATGTTGACCACATTACTAACCACTGTACCAGTAAGCTTTGTCAGAAAATGGATTCTACCTAAGCGTAAAGAACTATTTTTCCCGTTCATTCAAACAATTGCCCAAATACGAGACTAGTTGCCTATGTGGAGTTCGCTACCTTAGGTCCCATATCAGTACACTTGTAGTGTCTAGTATCATTTTGTTGGGGATGTTCGATCCCCAGAACACACTTGATAAATACTTTATTTTTGTAATTCTATTTTTAAAATTCAAATTTCTTGCTTCCGCGCTAAAAGCGCCCATTTTTACCTTCGTGTTGTATTTCCCACCTAGGAGGATCTTAAACGCTATTGGTTCGTTGTGTCTTTTAGTATGTTATTTTGTAACGCTTCCCAAGGACTTTTTTGTGCTGTATATTTACGCTTGATTTGTGCTTGTTGTTGTTGCTCGTGCTTCTGGCTGCTTGTGGAATAATATTTCCCTTTTCCGGACTTGGACTTCTCTCTCTAGTTAGAGGGTCTGGGACACATCGGAATAACTAGCTTATCTGCCATTGTGTCACAGTCTTCGTTCCGTTATCAGGTTAGGTAAACTCGGAATCTCTTCAAGCACAGTGCATTTCAAGCCCACATGGGTTATTCTAGCTTCCAGACAGACCAATCTATTTATTCTTCTTGAGTCACATTTTAACCTTATCAATTATTCGTTTATTAACCTTGACTGTTTTTATATTAGCGTATGTAAATAAAAAATAATATATGTGAGCGTATGTGTCAATTACCTACACTATTCATGATGTGTCTGTAATTTACTTTTGTTCGACTATAAATATCGATTCACGCTTGGTTAAAGCGAGTTGGCTCACATGCCTTATCCGATCCCTTTCGCTTCGCTCTTTCCTCTTCGTTTTGCTGCCTCTTATTCTGAATCTGTCTGGATAAACGAATGTCTGAATTCCTCCAAGTCCACTTGTATTTGGTTTCTTATTACCGCCGTCATACAAACGGGGTTAGCCTAGGTAATATACGGAGTTAAATGAACGATTTATGTTCATAGCATATTCATACGTTCATCCAAACTGGAGTCAGATCAGCTGGCACCACAAAACTCACTGAAGACTCCGTGAAAAAAGACGTTTCCAAAGGAATATATCTAATCAGCACAATTATAGTGGGAAAAACTATATTTCAAGTGATTAAGTGAGCTTACAACCGTGTTTGTTATAGGACTTCCTACCGAGTACTTTTCAGATAGCTGTAGCATTAGAAATGAATATAACAGAGTAGAACTCTAGGTTCTCACATGAACTATGATCATTACACTCTTGTATAACCATTGGTAAGAAATGACATCATATAAAATTAAGAGCTTGACCAATCCACCATACAACATTCACTTAATAATTACTTATCATCTATAACCACAGTGAATTTAACGCTTCATAACGAAACTTTGTTACACTATGACACAACTGAATATTCGCTTCAACTATTAGTAATACAAATTAGGCGTAATAAAATATACCGTGATACAAATGGAAATATGTTCATGAATCTACTAAAAAGTTTAAAAACTTGACAACATACTTCAACAGTTAAAATCAAGGATGGTGGATTGGCAACATCAGAGGACTGAACAACAAATTCGGATGGAACCTTTGACCTGGCCTCCCAACCTAAAATCTGTTCACGTGGAATCCAACCATTAGCATTCATAAGATCGAGCCATGAACCGACTGTTTCCATTGCAAGATTTGGATCCCATCGGGCCAATATCAAACCATGAAATCCTTCATCCCATAAAAATCCACGCGGAAAGTTGGGACGAGATGGAGTGGCAGTAAATAAACTGGACGCCCAATTAGATACTGGTTCCGGTCCAATATTAGCCGAACGAACTAACGATGTGCCGTAAAAGAAACCAATACCACCCAGTAGATTGCTGACTGAAATTTTAGATAAGTTGACCTAATCAGATTTAGAGGTAGAAACACAAAACGATTATCCCGATATATATATATATATATATATATATATATATATATTGCACTAAGGAATGATTATAATGAAAAATCTCATGGTAAGAATTAGGAAAATAACAATTTTATGTAGCACATAATGAACGACGTTAAGACAAAGCCACTGAAGTATTGGCTAATCAATGAGTTTATCATTCACAGTAAGTGTACAGACGCCAAAACCAGTGCTTACACTAGCCCATTTATTGAACAATATGAAGTAAATAATTTAGTGCACTAACTTAATTAGCTTGTTCTATTCACTTTACGAATAAGATTTCTTCCATAGGATTAATATGCCACTAGCTTAATCCCGATCGTTTCTACAGCTGTAATGAGGGAATTATGAAACAAACATAAACTGAAAAAGAAAACTGTCACTCCCGAGAGGATTTAGCATGCTTTCAATGTTCTGAGTTGCTAAGTATCCCACTGAAAAGTCACAAGGGAGGTCACTTTCTCCTGTACAAACAATTGAAAAATAATTATTACACCGACAGTGAAATAATCAACAATTAAGTAGGAACCCGTCCACATTTGAGAGATCCTTCTGGTATTCATACAGAAATCACGATACTGCACTTTTATAACTAACCGCTATAAGTTTCGTATTCCATGTTTCCGATTAATAATTTTGTGGTGCTACTGATATCGACAGATATAAGTAATATGTATCATCAATCGAAAGTGAAATGCCTGGCGGCAGGTTAAGAAGATTAAAGAAAAGAGAACGAGAGCAGAGAATTAGTGTGAAAACGAAGGTACAATGAAGTCCGAGACGATTGATTGACATTTTAAAAATGAAATATTTACTGTATGGATCTCAGATTTTACCAAGACGTTCTGTAATTTTGTATTCAAATACATTCGGTTGTCCCCACTGGTGTTCTCGTTCACTACAATTTCAGTACCGTGAAACACAACACCTTTCGTTTGGAAACATAATCCATATTGTTCACCGGATATAAACGATATAGTATCATGATGTGTAGATACAAACATAATCAGGTTACTGAATACTTAAACGTTATGACTACCAATTCTAGACATCCTTTCAAATCACTTCTAGTTAGTTTTTACAGTGAAAATAATCACAAATTCCAGCAAACAAAACTTCAAATCTGACTTAGTAAATTTATTACTACAAAGATTAGTTGTAATTGTTGAAGATTAGGCATAAACTACGATTTCTTCAAGCTGCCTTTGTTTGTTAATCTTAGGACTTTTATGGATTTTAATCAAAATAGATCAATAAAGCATAAAATAGAAAAATAAGTTTAGAAAATGATTGGATCAACTTGCTCAAAACTACAAACCTGTCTATTAGAAAACTTCGTTAAATCAACACTGAATCTTTCAACAAAACGTTTATGGAAACTTATAGACTGTTTAGATAACTCTTCAGAGAAACTATTCCCATGAAAACCTTCAAATGGACTTTGTGATCGAAAGAATTCGACATCCAGAATTGGTTGATTATTTTCATTGGGTATTGTACTTATTTCATAAAACCATGCATTTGGAGGTTGATTTTTATTATGATTCTTTGTGACACCTGTTAGTGCCAAGAAATTCTTATCTCTTCTAACTCCTAAACCAGATAACATTGTCTCTTTAATTGTATCTTCTCTAGGTATATAAGCCACGAGAGAACTCTCCTGTAATTTATGAGGAGTAGGATGAAACAAAACATGAAAATCACTCAACTCCATTGAACTACCTAAATTGTAAAAATAATAAAAATCAAGGATTGAATACACCTACCAGATTCAAAACATCGTATTTATATAGCAGTAATATGTTGATTATGCATAATTTAAAAACTATGTTTAAACTAGACAGTGGTTTTACAACCAACAGTAGTAGTATTTTGCTTTTTGAGTACTTGAGATGATTACAGTTAGGCTGATTAGACTGAAGTATATGAAGCGAGGTTCAAGCCTACGACCTGGTAGTAGAAAGACGAGTGTCTTAATCGCTAAGATACTGCGCTACTACAACGACAAGACAATTAATCTCAAGAAATGTGGTAAAAACTAGTAAAATGTCTAATGACCATAGATCTCACAAGTGTATACTTATTTATTACAATATAGATTTAGTCACATTATTTTGAACAGATATTTTTGTGTGAGAATAGAGGTTTTATTTTAGAAACGATAGCAACATAATGTGATGTGTAGCAAATTGTCTACTCACTTAGGGATTGTTAGTGAGTCTAATAGGTCACTGGGTTCGATTTCATGAAGTGATACCTTGCCACGACATACGTCTTGCGCTGTTGTCGACCAGCATCATGCCAGTAATCGTAAAAATACAAGTTATTAATCTAATACCAACGTAAATATCTCAAACCGACCACCACATTTCGACTTAAAATCATCTCTTGATCTATCTGATCGTGGCCAGCATAATATGTTGAAATAGATAATCACTGCATGCCAGTAACATGTCTATCTTTCAGGTAGTGAAGGAGGCTTTGACGTCACCTGAAGTCAAATATTTAAAAACTTGGCACTTGTTTAGGTGATTACACGGCGAGACTCCAATTTAGGGACGACCTTTGAACGAATCTTAAATGACCTTGAAAATTATTGGCCAATCAGAAGACAGTTAGTATAAAGTGAAAATATAAGAAAGTAATGAATTACAGTGGATGCATTTCATTATCATCTAATAGTCATGGAGATGTATCGAAAGTAACTTGATTTATTTTAAAAATTAAATTCTTCTACCAAATGTAATAATAACACTGATGTTATGCCAAATATATCCAAATCATTCTGTAAGAATCATTTTTGTCTTTGATCATTAAGATTCTCTATATTACAGATCATAGTGATAAATCAATATAATCTGTTCACGGATATGTATTTTTCAACAGAATAGAATACAATTTTTTATATACACAACTTTATATTACAGGATAACTATTCATTATAAGCTTTTTTTATACTGAATATAACATATATATATATATATATATATATATATATATATATATATATATATATATAACTTAATTTCTATAGATAAGCCTGAAACGGAAATAATAAATAGCGGTAGATTATAAAATTATGTTATTTCAAAGGGACTGAACTAAGCAATTAAGATAACATCATAATTAAAGGTTTTTTTAAACTATAAAAACAAATCATTTTTAGTAGGATTTTTTTATTCAATGAATTCTACATTGTCCTATGTACAATAATAAATTATATGAGAAAACATGATCATCTTCTTAAAACTACTGTCTCAATTTGCGATCAATATTTCCAGCAAATAAATTTCTCTAAAGTTTATTAATGTTGTCAATTTATTATTATTATTATTATTATTATTATTATTATTATTATTGTTTTTCTTTGTTGCTAATCAGTATGATAAAATTGAAATTAGGAAGAATAGTTCATTATAGTAAATGAGTAAATCATATAAATGAAGATAAATTAGTATTTCATAAATGAAACTTGTGTTAGAAACTAACTTTCAAATAAAAAAGAAATTTTTTTAATTTTTATTTTTAGATTTATTTAAATATACAAAACTTGTTAAGGTTTGATAAAGGTTCAGAAGTTCTGAATTCATAATGCATACGGTATAGAAACTCATCCATACGGTTAAGATTAGGTTAGGGTGGCGAGATTCCAATTTAGGGACGAGTCAAAAAGAAGGGTTTGAGCAATTTCAAGGTCACGGAGCCAAGTTCAACACGTGATGCTAACATACGATCGGTTTACAGCAGATTTTAGAGCGGAGGTGTTTACTGAGAGGCTACAGCCCTAACCCCTAACCCTGTGGACGAGTTTCTATACCGTATGCATCATGAATTCAGAACCTCTGAACCTTTATCAAACCTTAACAAGTTTATAAACCATGTAAAAGAAGAATATCCACTGTAATTCATTACTTTCTTATGATATATTTTTACTTTATATTAACTGTCTTCTGATTAGTTCGTCCCTAAATTAGAGTCTTGCCGACTACACTTCACAGCCATGCAGTGAAACGCAGAGACTATGACGTCATAGTACAAGGCCTAAATAAATATATGATTATCTCCATAGGTAGTTTAAGCCGACATAGTACTTCCATTTCCATAGATGTTTTTTGGGTAACCAACCACCAAGAACTAATACAACTGTCAAGATAAGTGAGATGTTTGACAGATTTAAACTACTTTACACCGTCACGCTAAACAGTAGCACAGACCAGTCCCAAAACAATAGTTTATGGTCGAGTTGTGGCAATTATATCACAAAATGTTTATGGCCTGTGCTATTGATCTTTGTTCATCACCTTACGCAACACGATCTGTATCATGGAGAATGTTTGTAGTATCCCAAATATTTTATTATTAAAAATTTGCGATCAGTGTGAAATTTCGGGAAAGTACTCTCACTTAAGAGGATCTCAGGTTCACATAATTTTAAAAGAAATAATAAATAAACTAACCTTGCAATCCAGTAATTTTCTTATTCGAAATGACTGGTTCGATGAAGAAGTCATTTTTATCACCAGGATAATAAAAGTAGACAATTACCGACAATGGATATTCCATAGAAGTCTAACAAATAAAGTAGCAAAAACACTTTACTGAATAACTTAAGTTTAGTGTCAACAATTAAGATCCAGTAACTTTATTTATAACAGATAAAGTTCAATAGAATAGAACATCAGTGAATCCAATACATTTACGCAACCTTTTGTACAAAGAACTTTTTTAATTAATCTCTGTAAGGTCTGTTAGGCAAATCCACTAACTAAATGGTGAAAACGGATCTTATAAGACGTTGACACTAAAAATCTGCAGAGAAGAGTTTGTAATAGTTTATTACATTAAAAACTCACACGATTCCGCGCAACTGCCGAAATCCTTACTGTCCAGTCACCGCCCATCAAGTCAGAAGACGGTTTTACAAAAGATATCGTGATAATATGATGGATATCTACTATTTGCTGTGTTCCAAAAGTACGACCATCGTGTTCCAACCAGTTGTAGCTACAAAAAACGTGGCAAAAGAGATGGCAGTGTCAACATTTTAGTTGTGGAAAATGTATTAAACAGTAGACTCATACATTTTACTTAATGTGCGTCAATAGCCAAGTATAATTTTTTGAACTATGTTTTGAGCCCCATATTTTGTGAGGTCTGGTGATGACACAGTTATTTAAATCTGAGTGGCAGAAAGCTCGAACCTGTAAACAATTGGTTGAAAATGGAGTCTATTAATCCCTAATGAACCGCGCCTTAACTATTAAACAAGATTTTTAATAAGCTTAAATGCAACTCGACTATAAATCAATGGATTTACGGACAAGAAAAAATATTTTTGCTTAGTATGAGTGAATATCTATACTTACAATAAAAATCAGAAAGTTCATGACTCAAAAATATTTTACTTCATAATTTGACTTTGAACTACATAGTCAAATGTTTAGATTCAACATGAATTTACAAGTGTATGGTGTGTGTCATTTATGTTTGTCGACAAAAGTAGTGTGTAACACCAGTCGGAAGTGGAAAACCTGGCAGCAGGAGGCTATGAAGGTTGACTTGAAGAGAACAGGGACAGAATTAGAAAGGAATTGTGAATCAGAAGAATTATACCGAATGTAAAAGACAAATGATGGAAATTTGCAAATGAAGTATTTAATGAATGGTTTTCATATTTTACCAAGATATTCTGTAATTTTGTATTCAAATACATTTTGGTTGTCCCCACTTGTGTTCTCGTTTATTACAAGTGCACTTGAGCAACCAAACAATGTCCATTCTAACATAAGTGTGGTTCATAATCAATCAAACTAACCTGCATATTGGTAATTGAACGTACAAATAGTGATCCTGAAATAGATTCAGTACAGCACAATAAATTCAGATCAGCTTAATGGTGAAATTCTGATACTGAAACACTTGTTTCTCATCAGCTTCAACATATCATATGAATATGAGGTTTCTCCTTTAAATTATGTAAAAATCTATTCACTATTCACAACAAGATGCATGGAGTATTACGATATTTTCACTAACGATTTAATCTATAGTAGCAGCAAACTTCATCAGGTATATAAAATGTTGCAGATGAATTCTACAGTAAGAACATAACGAATGAATGGTGGTTTCATTTTGCATATTTCATTAGTGTCAAAAATGCGACTCATGAAGTGAAAAATCAAACAACAACAAATGTATCGCCTTATGCTAAACCGAAAAATCCTATGATATAACTGGGCCGAAAATTATTAGCGAATTCTTTTTTAACACAATGTACTCTGTTAGCTGAAGTGCAAGTAGGTTGGATAAAAATGGGAGGGATAAAATCATTTTGTTACCCTGTCATGAGGCGTTAATGAAATAAAGTCGTACGGTTAGGTAACCGATCGAAAATATCAGTCTTCCCAAGGCTCAAAAACCAACATAATGGTGCAATTACCAACATACACGTCATATCTCTATTGCTTTAGAATTTCTCGAAAGTGGTTTATGCGATCTAATACTCGCAACGAAATTTATTGACTGGGTGCTTCTGAAGCGCCAGATAGAGTGATGAAAAATATTCCACCTTTCTCAGACTTTTGACATGATGCAATGAGTTGGGCTGCCATTCATCTGAAATCATATTAAACGTATATCTGGACATTGGAGGATAATTTCAGATTCCCTACTCTTATTCCTAGTGTTTCACAGAAATACGAAACTAGATCTTTTATAGAAATACCATAAACAGGTTAAATGATTAGGAAATATGAAGATCCGGTAGGTGGAATTAAAAAAGCATAGACGATTAATACAGCCAAAAGCATGTAAATATAAACACTACCAATAAAATCTTACCTTAGAACGCCATCAAATTGATCACAGGAGTGGCGGTAGACAAAATTTTCTGGATCTTGGACTGTCCACATAACTCCAAACAAAAGAGATTTGGGGCTTCTATGTTTCATACCAAAATAAATTCCGGGACGATAACTTCCCCAAAACAAACTATGAGATCGTTCATGCGATGAAGCATCCGATATTACTTTAGGTAGATGAAGTGGAGTAATAACTTGTTTTCCCTGATACCATACCATTACTTGACGAAAGGCAATCATCATCAAAAAAAACAAGACCCCCAAATATATGAAAGATAAAATGAACCACTTTGGAACTTTGTTTACAATGTGGAAATCCGTTAGGAATGACCGCTCATGGCTAACACGGCTTCTGAGTTTTGGGTGGCGTGAGCCATCTGACAGGTGTGATATGTGATTTACTTCGCGTTTAGGATGCTCAGAAACTGAATTGGTAAGTTCCTCAATTCTTTGACTTTGTTTACGTTTTCTTGGACGTGCTTCAATGGACTTACTCTTTGGCATCTTTATTGAGATATATAAAAGACCCAGACCTAAAAGTAGGAAATATCTTAGTGATGAACAGTTTTTAAAATCACAATTCCTGTTTTTGTAATATATGGATATTTTTAAACTAAGTCAGACTTTTGAATCGATCAATGAGGTAATCATCTTGTCTCAAATCAGAAAATGTTTAAATGGATAATAAACAAAAACGCAGTGAGTAATCCTTAGGGAATAATACTGATAAAACGTAAGGATGGAACCAACGGGATCCCTGTAATTGTATCTCGTACACCAACAGATGAAAACATTTTTTTAAACAGTCCCACTTCTTTATAGGCCTTAGTGAAACATACAATAATCGTAGGACGGCAAGAAGTTATTTTGTAGACCCTCTTCAACCGCTTAAAACGTCCAGACAATAAAATTAATCATGACTAACTACTGAGTACGTGTGGGTTTCTGTAAGTGATATAGTATGTAAGTGCACATCAGTAATCTATGCTAACAGTGAATTAATGATTCCGTCATTACATACTTTTTATGCATTAGGATTTGGAAACTAATCTCCTAGCTCCATACTTTTTCCACGTACAACAGAAAATTGTTTCCATTAATGCTTTGGTCAAGAAGCAGGTACTGCTTGCGGCAAGCATATGGATAGTGAGTGAGACGTGCTGTATACGTCCTGGCATTGTTGATATCGATAGTAAATCGACTCAATGTGAATGGAAACCAATCTATTACTAAATGTGCAGTCTTGCACTAATCAGGTGTTACACGCAGAAAATCAACTGCTCATAGATTATTTCTATCTAACTAAACACTTAGTTGCTTCGTTTAACAAAGTAATTCGCAGGATGAAACTACTTTACCCCTATAAAGTGAGAAGCCCGTGGTAAGCGCAATAATTCTGCTGATCATTAGCAGAGCGGGACTCAAACGAAAACCCGATTATCCATACGACTCAGCTGATTTGGATGCAGCCAAATGATATGCATTTTAAATAATTCGTCCTTTAATAGCATGTTCAGTAACATGGGTGGATCATCAGTTTTGTTGCCTTCAAGTGAGAAGGAACCGGAAATCCTAGAAACATCCTTAGCAGGAAAGTATAAGGAATAGATATGCAAGATCATAGATTCCTTTAATCAATTATTTACATTTCAGATGAGTGTGACCAAGCTCATGAATGGAAATCTGAAGGCATTATTGAGATATAATCAGGATTAGGTTATGAGACTGAGATCGCCCACCAATTTTACTTCTCTTGGAACTTCGTATAAAACATGGTTTAACAAAATGATTTTACTGAACGAATTAGGAACGAATTTTTATGTTTCTTTTTACGTAGATGCATTAACAGCAAAGTTCGAATTGGTCAGTGTGAGCAAGAGGACTTACTAGAATTTATATCAGGTTTCTCTCATGATGAGACAAATCAAACGTAAAAGCAACGAAAGAATGATGATATAAGTAACAAACTAGTGTTATTCTTTTTCCTTCCCGTTTTCTTATCGAACATCACACCTCATATTGTGATAAAAATCCAAATACAACCACGCCACAACAGTTGGTGGTTATTGCTTCAGAATTTACTAGACGAAAATGCGGACTACCAATAAAGATGGGAACATTTAGTTTCAACACTATTGTTTCGATTTTAATATGAACACTTTCCTCAAATAAACGAATGCCTACATATACTTCAACATTTTCATATGTATGTGGTGTACTGAGAAGAAATAAGCCGGTCTTAAAACGCTAAATTAATCTCTAGTTGAAAAAAAGAAACATTCTTAGTGCACGTTCTCATCAAACAAACTCCAGATACACAGCTAGGTTCCACATTTTCTAGACATCAACAATTATCATACTTCTCACAAACACAAAGTATGACAGACACCAAAATGGTGATATTTTTGAGGATTATGATTAGAACTCCTGCAAATTACTTCTTAAACACGAATTACTCTTCATAATAAGGTCAAGCGCTAAGAAACTTTTTCCAGCAGTAAGTAAATGTCGAAGACATTATGGAGGGAGGTAAAATGACAATGGTAAATGTGGGCAAAAATAGACTGATTGGTGTACATTTGGGCAACCATTAAGGCATTAACTTTGAGAAGGCATTTAGGCGAAAAGCTACACTTTAATCACAGCGGAAAATATCATTTATATGTAATTTTGCCAAGTTTCAAATGGATGTGGACGGAACAGAAGCTTCCGTTTAACAGGCTTCTGTGTCTAGTAGCAGGGGATCACCAATACCTCCAGGCAGGAACATAGGTATATTAACTATAACAGATTATAAAAAAGATATTGGTAACTCACAATAAGATGTTATCCTTAGTCCTTAAGAATAGGTCAAGTTTCCTCTTAAAGGACTCCTGGGAAGTCGCTTGGACTAGTTCAGTCGGCAGCGAATTCCAGCATTTGACAACTCTTAAGGAGTAGAATTTGTGTCTACAGTATGTTCTGGTATGTTGTGTCTCCAATTTCTGGGTGTTACCGCTTAGGTTTGTATTGGGACTAAGCTTAAGTAAGTGTTTAAGGGGATGTCCAGAAGTGTTAAGGATACTGTAAGACATCAGAAGGTCACCTCTAAGACGCCTATACTCCAATGGGTAAAACTTAAGTGATTGGAGGCGCTTTTCATAAGATTTGAATTTGAGTCCCCGAACTGATTTCGTGGCTCGCTGTTGGGTACCCTCCAGAGTGTCCTTATCGATAAGGACACTCCAAAAGGATCCTTTTGGAGTGAGGGAGGAAATACTATGTATCCGTACTCTAAATGGGGACGAATAAAACTGTTGAAGATTATGTGGAAAGTTCTTCCGTCAAACTGGCCAAAAATGCGCTTCAATGTTACCAGTCCAAGGTTCGCTCGAAAGGCATTTTTGTCACAGTTAGCGTGACTTCAAATCGTGGGGCATCAGGATTCCTAAATCTTTTTCGACTCGGGATACTACTACAGAGGAGTTTCTTAAGTTGTAACTGTAGTCTGCGACATGTCGCGGATGGACTACTTTACGCTTTGAAGTGTTAAAGTCCGTTACGAATATCTACCTTATATTCTCCTGAGCATATCCTTATTCCACAATATGGTTCAAAACTGGAGATTTAGACAAATACCTAAGAGTATATTAAATACAGGAATTAAACAACAAATACAAGAAAAGAATACCGTCACCAGATAAACGCCCGGGAGTAGCGCTAAGCTTGAAGCAAAGGACTCCAGTCCCAGTTTACGGACAGGAAGCTAGGCTGTGGTGGTCCCTGAATTTCTTTTAAAAAAGTGAACTGTTAGAACTCCAATCAAGTGTTGAAGTAATTAATTTCGATTTGTTGATGACTCGATGTGAAAGTCGATAGCCAGCTGACACGTTTTTTGTTCCAGGCTAGTGAATTTTTGGAGTGTCCTCGTAAATTCTCTGCCTTAGAAGACAAAAAACACAAGGGAATATCAGATGCAAGTTTGTCACAAAGTAATTAAAGAACTGTGATCAAGTCGCCTCTGGTTCTTCTACATGATAATGGCCAGTCGATCATCATATGGAAGCTTAGCTGTGGTTCTTGCAATCTTTTACAGCCACGGATCGTCTTTTTTAGGCACAGGCTACCCTCTTGTATATAGTACTCATGTTGAGCTTTCACAAATACTAAATGTAAAGTCAAAAATGCTTTAGAATCGACATAGACGATGGCCCTATGTATCAAACATATGGTCCCAAAACCTTTGGTGGATATCGCACGGTATCTTGAAGTAGACTTAAAGTCTTGGCTAACTACGACTCCTAAGTAATTTTTCTGTCTGGACAGCAGGTAGCTCAGTGTTATTCTCCGTGTATCAGTACCTTGGTGGCCGTTATACACCATAATGCACTTAAATCATCTATCAGCAAATGCCAAATTTTTTACCATTTATCGAGGTCAGTTGGAATTTCTAAGCTGCCAACTTTACTTCCTATCGCTCTCCATGTCTTAATATCGTCAGTATATAATAAAAACGATGATGGTAGGAGACTAGAAAGATTATTTACATGCGGGAGTGTAGCGGCAAATAAATCCCCAAAATAAGTAGCTCTGTAAGTCTTCGACGTTCAGTATTGATGGTCTCACCTGGTTAACGGCTCTCGGTCACGCATCCACACCATATCACGAGCGTGTACGCTGCACCTCACATCTCCTACAACCGCTAGCCAGCTTAAATTAGTCACATCTCGACATATCGATAGCCTATCAATTATATCTTCGAACCTCTTCGCTTCTGACTTCTGATTTCACTAGTCTGGTACATTTCCATTACAGAAGTTGTTACTGGTTAAGGTGTGATCAAACTCCGAATGTTTGTGGCATCTTTAGGAGGAATAACACCGGCCTGAAAACTGAACCCTGAAATACTCCACTTAGTTGACGCCTAACTAGAGAGTTATTAATCCACCTTAATAAATTGCCTCCAAATCCGGTATTATTTGATTTATATAATATCCGGTTTTGGATTGTAACCACATGACCTTTGAAGCCGAGCATGCGACCACTAAAAAGATTTATATTCAACAAGTGACAGGAAGAAAAGGTTAACTATAGAGGACACGTTAACATTATTTCATTTCAATTCGATCGGATGGCATGGTTCAGCATCACAGGCGTGGTCATTCTTGTGTAAATTATCTATTTCATTCATATTAAATATATTATCCTATCTCCAGCCTAAATGTGTTCTCCAGAAGTATGTAACGTCATATTGGTGATTCTTACGTTAGGACGAGTCAGTGTAGACAACGATGTCACGTCCCCGTAAGATCTGATAGATAAGGTAGTCATATGACGACGAATCTACAATTTTAGGATTAGGTCTATTATTAGAACAGTGCTAATAACGAAGTATACCATAATTTTACAAACTTCGTCGAAAGCTCCGTTGTAGACAACAAAGGCTACCACTATATATAGCTTTTGATTCTTAAGAGCTCACCAACACTCGTGAGCTACTAATAAGTCTGTGAGACAGAAATCGCTTGTTCGAAAACCGTGCAGCCTCTTAGGAAGAATCCGCCTTTGTCGGGATACTTCGACATCTCGTTCCGAATAACCCTTTAAAATTTTAACAACCACACTGATTAGTCTTGCTGGTCGAAAGTTCTCAGGTTTATTTCTCCTACCTGTTCTGAAGATAAAACTTACCATAGCATTCTTCCAGTCCTTTGATATTTGACTCTAGGTTGCAGACAGTTTAAAATATGTGCTTAAGGGATCCGCATCAAATTTCGTTGATTACTTTAGTAACCTAAGATGCACTTCATCTGGCCCCATGTATTTGCTTACATCCAGCTTATTTAGAAAATCAAATACATCGAGTTATTTAATGATCACAATCTCTCACGATAATTCTGGAATACTTCCTATTCTCTCGATGCTTTGATTTATGTACTAGTATCAGCGTTAAGAGTATTCTCTAGATTGCTTAACAGGCTTTTCCTCGCACCATCTTCTAGACTTGCAAAGGGTCGAGGCACAAATATTTCGAGCTTCCCGATATTGAGATTTTTTCCTGCCAGTACCCAATAACCTAAATCTCTCCCACATTCTTCTCTGACGGAGAGCAGTGCGTACCTCTTTACCGAACCACGATGAGAAAGTTCTCGGACGCATTGATGTGGACAAGGGATTCGCGGTTCTGTGACTTGCATGCACAAATTTATTGATACATCTCAAGCCGTTTCAATGGGGGACTCGGATTTCATTGGTCAATCTACTAAGAATGCTGAGCACATAATATCCTGTATATTTGCTTTACAGCCTTTTCAATAAACAATAAACTACAACAACTACTAGCATTTGCAAACGATTTTCTGTCTATCATTTTTCCTTACATTCGGTGGAGAAGAGCAAGGTTTACACTGCTTCATTTAAGTTATCTTACGCTACCTATATATGTCTTTTGTGGACACATTACAGCAGCGCATCCAATTCTGCCGGATGAAAAGAGCGGACAAAGTGAACGTTGGAGTTTGTTTTGAATTATCCTGTAAGAATTATGGCCTAATATGTTACAAGGTATGAATCGAGTGAAGTTACACTTCTGCGCCACAAGGTTACAGCTCAGTGACCTGTCTGATAATTGGGCTTTCACACGCGAGACTGAATGTCCTGTGCTCGACTACTGGTCTCAAAGCCAATAATGTGCATTCCTGAGTTCCTTTCTAAGATGAAACGACCTGCCGATGCTTTCATATTTTCAGTGGTTGTGTGACTGGTCGAATCTATTAACTATTCTGGTGCCGATGACATTCCTTCAATCCTTTATAAAATGTCAGGTCCGGACATACAGACGCTACTACTCAAAATACACACATTATCTTTAGAGACAGGTACATATCCGGAAACCTGGAAGGTAACGTATGTTCTTCCCAAACACAAATCCGGACCGAGAAACCTGGTTGAAAACTACAGACCTATAAATATCACTCCAGTCATATCACGCATAATGGAAAAAGTGATACAAAATCAACTATCTGATCACCTACTCAAGGAAGATCTAATAGACCCGTCACAACACGGCTTCATTAGAACAAGGTCGTGCAGTACATGCCTGATAGACTTCTTTAACGAGGTTACTCGTATGCGTGACCAGAAGAAACTAGTTATTATACTATACTTCGATATTAAGAAAGCCTTTGATAAAGTACCTCATAATCTTCTAATCAACAGACTGAAGTCAGTTGGAATTATAAATCCCCTTTTGCAATGGATCAAGTCTTTTCTTACGAACAGATATCAAATAACCAAGATTAACTCTAATACATCTACACCTCGACCGATAACCAGTGGTGTTGTGCAGGGTAGTGTCTTGGGTCCATTGCTCTTTATAATCTACATCAACAATATATGCAGGTGTTTTAGCACAGGTAAGACCTACCTCTATGCCGATGACTTAAAAGTCATCTATAAAACTGACATTTGCGATTTACGCAGTACTATGCAAACAATCCAACATGAACTCAACATGGTAGATGACTGGTGCAAACGCTGGAGGTTAGAGCTCAACATAGAGAAATGCGGCTGGTTATGTATAGGAGACACGTCTCTTAAAATGAAACTAACACTTAGCGATCACACACTGCCCAGACTGGCATCAGTAACTGACCTAGGGGTACATTACTCACACAGTCTTAATTTCTCTGAACACATCTCAGCCAAAGCATCCAAAATGCGGAAATTGCTTGGCTTCATTCTCCGTAATTTCTATCAAAATGAATCTAAAATCCTTCTTTACAAAGTTTGTGTAAGACCTATCGTTGAATACTGCTCGTTCTTATTTTCCAACCTACGTCTATCTGATATACTAAAGGTGGAAGGAATACAACGAGACTTCACCCGCAAAGTACTTAAGACTGACTCGGTCATTGACTACAGTTCTCGATGCCAAATCTTAGGAATAGCACCCCTTTGGGAGAGAAGGCTTAGGTCTAATTTGATTCTCTACTTCAAACTACTCAAAAACCTTACTTACTCAACATGTCAGATAATTCTTGCCCGAGATTCACATGAATACGGACTTCGAAACAAAGTATCTACGGTCAAAGTTGAGAAATACAGATCAAAAACTCGGGAAAACTTCTTCCTCACCAAGTATGCAATAATATGGAACAGTCTTCCTCCGAGACTCGCATGGCAGATGAACTACATACGTTTGTAAACTGCTTGATCAAGCCCTCACTCGCACTGATCTTGCACGTACGAACACATCTGCACCCCACTCAGACATCATAGGCTCTCTCCATGTCTAGACCAAAATGGACTTCAAGTTCAGTTTGCCTTATTTTTCCTACTTTGCAGTTGTATTAATTACTTTTTCCACCCTATTTCTTCACTTGAAGTAGACAGGTAACTCACTGGACCTATCATTACTGTTAAACTAAACTCGGTCGATAAGGGACACTCACTACCACCCTAAAAAGTCAAGAGGACCGCACAATCGGCTGCCTACTACCAGTGGTCTTGCATCTATGGAGCCTGTTACCAATCAACTGGTTAGGACAGCAGAAAATAACATCAGCACCAAGTTACTGTGAGTTTCTTCCTGTTTATCCTGTATTAACTTTTTACTCTTCTGTACACTATGTTGACTAGCAATTAATATTATTTCTCCACTCGTTCCCTTATCCACAACTCATATACTTCTATACTTTTTCCGCCTGCTTAAATAAACAACTATCCTACAATATACCCTTCTTAACGCTTATACTCTGTTTGGCAAACTATACTTTATACTATAGTCAACAGAGGCACTGCATCGATGCTTTACCCACAGTCCATAGCTTGTAACTGCCTGATAAGCTTGTAAAATGGTACTTATAGAAATAGTGCTTTCCAACAAGTTGTGAAACAGAGGATTGTGTGAGGTATGACGTATATACAAAAATAAGCCTAAAT